AAGCAAAGGTGTCGATCGGCATCAGTCTCCTAAGTGGCCCCATCGCCAACGTTCTCGGCAGTCATGTGTCATGTGAGATACTCAAACATGAGCTGGCCCGGCAATGGCTCCTTTGCTGGAACGGCAAACACCTCTCGTGAAACCTGGGAAAATGTTTCCAAGTCGCTTGTGTGGGCGCAAGGGGTGGTCTCAAAATGGACTATTACCCGCGACCTTTGTCCTAAAGAGGTAGGGACATTTTCTGGCCCGGCATTGACGGTTATTTTCCATGTCTAGCCAGACTACAGCAAATCCGGCAATGGCAGAGCCCATGCGAAGGAGGCTAGGCTCTCTGTATCGCCTTCTCACAGATCTATGAGCCATTCAGGTCCACCCTACGTGGCGTGAGCAATGCTCTGTGGCGGACATGCGGCAGCTCTTATAACTGAACCCGGGTTGCGACCCATTACCCATTCAGAGTATCAGGAATTGCAGACTGATTACTTTTTTGTGCCGCGTTCTACACTGCTGTGCTGTCTCTTCGACACGCGAATATCTGCTCAAAATGGTTGAAAACGGTCACTACGCCGAGACAATGGAGCGGCCACTCCTCGCCAAAGACGCCCTTGCCCCCAACGAGACGAAGATGAACGGTCACGTTGTCGTTCAGCCTGTCGAGGTACCTGTCGAGGATCCCGTCGCCCAGCCGGAAATACCAACCATCCCTCAGCTTCGCAAATTCACCGGCACATATACCGTGACAGATAGACCGCTTGGGTACATCAAACCGGTACGAATAATTACAATTGGCGCAGGTGCCAGCGGTATCAATATGGCGTATCAAGTGAAAAACTACCTCCGGGAGGCGGAACTGGTTGTCTACGACAAGAACCCTGCACTCGGAGGCACTTGGTTTGAGAACAGATATCCTGGCTGCAAGTGCGATATTCGTAAGTTGTGCTGGCCGAGATCCCGTGGTGTGATGATTCACGACGACGGACTAACTCCCTCTTGCTAGCATCACACAACTACCAGTTCGCCTGGGAGCCCAATCCGGACTGGGCGGCCATGTTCTCCCCGGCCGAGGAGATCCGTGAGTACCTCGAGAAGTGCGTGGCCAAACACGATTTATCGGGCTACTTTAAGCTCGCACATGAGGTGATCGAGGCCAGGTGGCAGGAAGAGAGCGGCCGCTGGATCGTCAAGATCAGGAAGACCGAGACAGGAGAGGTCTTTGAAGACGAGTGCAACTATTTGCTCAACGCCGGAGGCATTCTGAATGCGTGGAGGTGGCCCAACATACCCGGCCTGCACAACTTCCGGGGCAAGTTGGTCCACAGTGCCAACTGGCCCGAATCCTTCGACTACAAGGACCTGAAAGTCGCCGTCATTGGAAACGGGTCCACGGGGATCCAGATCGTGCCGGCTCTGCAGCCGCACGTCAAAGAATTGGTGCATCTGATCCGGTCGCCGACCTGGGTCACGCCGGGCGCCGCTTCGCGCTACCCGTCATTGCGCGGCGGCAACATGCCCGAGCATTTCTCCGAAGAGCAAAAGGAGCTGTTCCGCCAGAACCCCGAAAAGTACCTGGCGTTCCGGAAGGCCGTCGAGGTCGAGATCAACGCCAAATTCCGCATGCTCGTCAACGGAGCCCAAGAGGCGGCCAAAGCACGGCTCGACGCGGCCAACAGCATGATCGGGCTTCTCAAAGACAGCCCGGACCTGATCGAGAAGCTGATCCCAGACTTCCCCGTGGGCTGTCGCCGCATCACGCCCGGTGTGGGGTATCTCGAGAGTTTTGCGAAACCCAACGTGCGAGTCATCACTGACGCGAGGATCGACCACGTCGACGACAAGGGCCTGGTCATGTCGACTGGCGAACACATCGAAGTCGACGCCATCGTGTGCGCCACCGGCTTCGATGTTTCCTTTTCGCCGAGATTCCCCGTCACCGGCCGAGATGGAGTGAGCCTCAAGGACGTCTGGGGTGAGCCCAACGTGCCTCAGGCATACTTGTCCATGGCCATCCCCAAGTTCCCCAATTACTTTGGTAAAGTCTCTTTTTGTTTTCCCTCCCCCCCTTTTCGACCCGCGCGGGGCCTTGTTCTCTGTCTAACGCAGAAGTGAAATCAACAGTCTTCCTGGGACCCAACGCGCCCATCTCGCACGGCAGTGTCTTCACCATCACGGAGCAATGTTCGAAATACATCCTGCAGCTGATCACCAAGGCGCAAGTCGAACTGATCAAGGCCATCGACGTCAAGCAAGAGGCCGTCGACGACTTGGCCATCCACATCCACCACTTCATGCCCCGCACCGCGTGGGCGGGCAACTGCCGGTCGTGGTTCAAGAACGGCCGCTCGTCGGGCCCCATCATCGCAATCCACCCGGGCAGTCGGCTGCACTGGTTCCACGCGCTCGAGAGGCCCAAATTCGAGGACTTTGACTACACGTACGACACGGGCAATCGGTTCCAGTTCCTGGGCAACGGCTTCTCGACGCGGGAGGAAGAGGGCGCCGATCAGACCTGGTATCTTGACCAGGTGGCACCCAAGTTGCTCTACTATTGAGGCTTTCGTACTCCGAGTCAGGGGGTTTTGCGCCTGTGTTGTTTTTCCTCCTCCCCATAGATTCATATATCGTGCATATATTGTGGACAAAGGGACGGCGTCCTGTCTTAAGACTAGTTCGAATTGCAAGATAAAAACTTATATCATATACCATAGTTATACCTTGTGAAGTCTGGAAGCTTTTTCAAGTTTTGAGGAGTAAAAACTTGAAGGAAAATATAAATTTACGATTGAACAAATTGAACGACGACATTGATTTTGATCTTATCTTTTTTCTTGTGTCTAACTATCTGATAATACACGTTACATTTGTTCAAGGAGCCGTCGCCGCTGCCGCTGCCGCCACGGTGCCGTTGGGTTTGGCTTGCTTGTCCTTCTCGATGAAGGCAATCACGTCGGCCACGGCGTCCTGCTTCTTGCTTGCGAGGATGGCCCGGCCTTGCGGCCCAGGGTCATTCAGCAGCTTCACCTCCCTCCAGTTGTCGACGTCGGCGACCTCGAGGATCGTGCCGGGCGGGTACTTGGGGTCGAGGCAGACGGCCATCATGCCGCGCGCGACCTCGTCGGGCGAGAGCATAAAGTCCTTTTCCGGGTCGACAAACTTGCCGGCCTCCGGGTGGTCGGAGTACAGGGGCGTGCGGATGATGCCGGGGGCGACGCCGACGACCCTGATCCCCGCCAGCTTGTGCAGGTCGGCCATGCACCGCACGAAGCTGCTGATGCCGTGCTTGGACGCCTGGTACAGCGGCGTGACGATGCTGGCCTTTTGCGCGCCGATGCTGGACACGCAGCAAATGATGCCGGGGGCGTCGGCGGCCAGCATGCGCCGGATCGCGATGCGCGACATCTTGATCGGCGCGAGAAGGTTGATGTCGAGAACCTTGTAGTGGTTGTCGGTGTCGTTGTCTTTCCAGAAGCTATTGTGTGACTGTTTTTCCTCTCGAGTTAGAGAGAAAAAACTAAAACTCCAAGGGTAAAAACTTCCCCCCCTACGCCCAACAAACAAAAAAACGGATAACAGGGAACAAAAGGTCTATGGGTGGGTAACTGGGGCAGAACTTACAGGCTCATAGACCCCGGCGCCAGGGCAGACAATGTACGGCACGCCACCGATCGTGTCGGCGAAGACGTCAAAGACTTTCTCGAGTTCGGACCATTTGGACACGTCGGACTTGTAGAAGATGACCTTTGGCTCCGACGGCTGAGGGTTGGAGATGGTGTCCATCCAGGCCACGGCGTCTTTGTGCAGGGCAATGTCCATGATCAAGACACTGCATCCTGCACGATGGAGCGCCTGGGCAAACGAGAGGTTGATGCCTAGATCCGTGGCTCAGTTTCTGTCTTCTCTCTGCTTTCTCTCTCTGTCTATACAAGATTTCCTTCTTCTTCTCCTTCCATCTTCAATGACAAAGCGAGTATCAGGGGAATCTTACCTGAGCCGGCACCAGTGACTATGGCGCCTTTGCCACGGATCTGACTCGCGTCCATTTTTTTTTCTTCTTTTTCAGTGCTTTTTTGGCTTTTCAAACTCGCAGAATTCTGTTTTCTCGTCCAGGGTGGAAAAATAAGGATCGAACCAACTCCGACGTATTTGCACAATTCAACAGTAACGTACGTGTTTTAAGAGCTGCAGCACTCTACGACTGCCCCGTGTCCTCTCCGTGGTCACTGAATAAGAAGGGGTTTTTTTTTTCAAAGGGCCGAAAGTCTCGTGCAAAGTCCCCATGCCATGCGGCGAACGTCACAACCTGCGACCCGTCCTCAATAGCCGGAAGGGCCAAGTTCCAAGTCATGAAGCCGGGGTAGCCGGGCACGTGGCCAGCATAGCCCATAGCCGTTAGAGGGTGGGGTGTCAAGATTCTTAGCGCCTTGGCACATAGACTGCCATTATCTAAGCAATGTGCTATATATCTCTTTGTGGCTCGATGTACACTCACTCTTACCTAGTCGGGTATAGAATATTCGCCTAAAAGACGATACAAGATACAACGCCGGCTGGTCATATGTCCCCCCAAGTAGTTTCTGGAGGCTTTTCCTAAATGCACAGGTCAACACCTTTCCCGGCCACATTTCTTGGGGAATGGCTTACGATACGTCACTCATACATTGACTTGTGCTGGTCTATGCAGCCTCTCAAGGAAAGGTGCATACGTCGTCTGGGGAGATATGGAAAATCTAGGGGTATGTGATCCTGGATACGATAAACGTGTACGCGAAAAGCTTTTGCTCAAAAGGTGTCAACATTCCTTTTTCGTCAGACAAGTCGATTTCACGCCCCCGAAACTAGTACTCGGTACTGCTTGAAGCTTCTTCCACTCCACTAATAAGTCCTGTTCCTTGCCAGTCGAGTAGGGAATGGGCAACCAAAATCAGCCCCCAAGGAGCATCCAAGCCCCGTCTCCGAGGCAAGCATTGATTCATTCGCCAGGAGAAGGCTTTCGTACATCCTACCTACACGAGAAAGCGCCCGCCGTTTGAGCTGATCATGGTGCCGGTGACGAAATGGTCCCTCATGCAATAGATGTATGCCTCGGCGATGTCCTCGACGGTTCCAATCACCCCGACCGTGGTGTCGCGTGTCAGCTCATCGATGAGCGCCTTTCTCTCCTCGGGACTCTTGTAGTCCCAGAGGGCCGTGTCGATGCCTCCGGGGCTGATCAAATTGACCCGCAGAGGTTTCAGATCCAGTGCCAGCCCACGCGTCATGCCGTGGAGCCCGCTCAACCAGGAGCCGACCACCGTGGAGCCAGCCCAGGGCTTCTCGCTTGTCGCCCCGGTGGTGATGGTGATGGAGCTCTGCGGGCTTTGCACGAGGTTCTTGTGCCCGTGCAAGGCCACCAGCAAGGGCCCGTAGAAGCGGATGTTGCCGACTCGCTGGATGAAGGCGAAGTCGACCGTGTCCAAGGGCCTCAACGGCGGGTTGTCCCCGGCTGAGTAGACAATGTGGTCGAGTGTGCCGACTTTGGTGAAGAGCTCCTTGATGTTGTCCTCCATGGTGCCCAGCTCTCCCACGTCGCATACGTACCCCTCGATCGAAGCCGTGGACGAGGGATACGACGCCTTGAGTCTTGCGATGGCGTCGTTGACTCGCGATTCCCGCGACGAAGAGACAATTACTTTGCCCGCGCCATGCTCAATGACTGCTTCCGCCACGCCGAAGCCGATGCCAGATGTCCCTCCGATGATCAAGACTCGCGCGCCTTTGAGCTTGTTGATGTATTTGGCCTGGTCGGTCATGATTTCTTTTCCGCAAGAAGAAGGACGACTGTCAAGGACTGTCAAATTTGAGGAGGCCTGCTCCGTCACTTGGAAGTTGTAGATAGATATATCCACGGCCTCCTCGAAAGGACCTTTTGCAGCCCGTCAATTCCTCCCAGCAATGACGACGCGTTCAATCGATTGTTATTGGGCTGTGTGGATCGGCAATCAACCACTGCTTGAACAAGATACAAACTATCTGGGTCCTTTTATTCCCGGACACATATGTTTTGTAAGCAGGTGTTTTTTCCATGTTATATCGTAGACTGGGGAAGCAAAAACCCGGGTTAGGTCTCTGGGGTCTGGAAGACCCATGCATGTGGCGTCTTTGTATAGCCGAACCTCAGCTGCTAGCATTTGCTGGCAATGGGTATGGGTTGAAGACGGCCCAGTCTCTTGAGAGTTTGCCGGTTAATGAAGTCGGCTTTACGGTCTGGTATACCAATCAATCGTTTTCTACTCTTTGGCATTCCAGCTATTTTTCTTCTACCTTTTTACGACTTCGTCTCGGCCTCAGCCTCCAATGCGGGACGGAAATCCTTGAGGAACGACCACTTGGTTTTGGCGCCCCATCCCTTTTCCTTCCAACTATTCACGTCTGCCGGGAAAAAGTCTATCAAGCCCCACAGGCTGTCGTCGTGTGCGAAGATGAACCACACATTAGAATCGGCGTCAGCCTCTTGAGCTTTCTTGATACTCTCAATTGCCGTCGGTATGTGGAGTCCCATTGCCGGGATAAAGAATGGTTCGTCGAGCTTTCGGCCCCGAGAATGCTGCACGTGCTCCAGAACCGCCCCAGGGCAAGCGGGCACATGGGGCATTATTCCTTGGAGAATGGTTTGAAGTTGACTATCCTGGGGAAGAGGCAGAAGGGGCGAAGGACGGAGCTCGCCACTGTGGTGACAAAGGTCACCGCCCATCATGATGAAGGTATCAGGGTTCGACGACGTTCGGGCCAGACCACAAAGATGCCCAATGGCATGTCCGGGAGTATCGAGTAGATAAAACGATCCGTCCCCAAAGAAGTCAAAGGCGTCAAACTTTTCGATTTTCAGCTTCGACTCTGTAAAATCAATCTCGCGAACTTCTCGGCCCCTTTTCTCTTCGTTAGTCAGACTTGCCTGGGGAGGTCGGTGGACCACAGCCATGTCAGTTCTTGACAAAGACTTACGCGAAATCGCTCTCCCTGACTGGCGCATCGACCTTAGCAGGGTAGCCGGGGAAGAATGCCTCTTTGAACCCCGGCCCCACGACCAGTTCCGTGCTGGGAGGAAATGTAGAAGGGTCTCCCAAATGGTCCCAATGCCAGTGGCTAGAATCCTGTCAGCTTGTAGAACTGTGTCGACGACTTGGGGCCTTTACATACCTCCAGATGATACTGTTAATCTCCTCACCTTTGACACCCGTCTCTTCCAGGATCTGGACCGTGTGTTTCTCAGCAGTCACATTCCAACCAGCGGCGATTGTGTGGCTGGTGGTGACCGGGGAGAAATCCTTCCAGGTAGGGGGCACGCCCAAGTCAAATAGTGCCTTCTTGCCCGAGGCATGCTCGACCAAGAAAGACCATGATGGCAACTTGGGCATATGGGTAAAGCCCGGCACGATTGGCTCCATCAAAAACGTGCTTGGGACCTTTTCAATCCGCGAGGTCGTGTCGATAATCCGCACACGGACAGTGTTCCCAGCCGGAACGTCGAAGTTGTGAGCCGCAGCCATGGTGGTGTCCCGGTACCGGAATGGTTGTATCCTGTGAAAGAGATAGGTCGAGAATGGTGTTTGAAATATTGATTTGGATCTAGCACCGACACTTTCCTTGTAACCACACCGTTAGTTGATACATATAGTTCCGGTTCACAGTCTCACGGCTATTCTCGGTAGTGGACATAACAGCCAGCAGCCTCGCTCGCCGACATTGATATCCACCTCGACACATGGTAGCGGGCAGAAGTCAAAGAGAAGCCGAAAAAGAAACAGCTCAGTTCTGGAAATCTGGGTCCCCAGAGCGGAGTCGATGATGGGGAACAAACGCTCCGGGGTATCATTTCGCCAACCCGCACGTTCCTGGCTATTCCGGCAACCAAATGTCGGTATTCAGGTCATTTGCCAGGTCCAAAAATATGGGTCCAGTGGGGTATATAGTACTTCGAAGACGGTGTTTTATGGAAAGAAATTTCCCAAATCCACTCCCTCTCAGGAGGTATATCTTTGCGACAAATCCGCCGTCGTGTCTTGTTCAGCAACACAAGGACAGAATTAGAGCAGCATTGCGACATCATGGCTTCCTCTCAGACCGTGGATCAGAGCGAGTACCACCATTCAGCGCGACGCCAGTTCAAGTGGCAGAATGTACTCTTCATAGTCGCTGCAAGTCTCGGCTCCTGCATGTATGGTTACTCGGCATCGGTGATATCGACCACTCTGATCCAGCCCTCATTTGTCAAGGCGATGGGATTGGATACTGCACCAGATGCCTCGGACTTGATCGGGTTGACTGGAAGTGTATGTTGTTGACCAAACCCCTCTCGCAACTCTCGAGAGGTGGAAGTAACAAATGCTGATCTACTTGATGGGAAACTAGATGTACCAGGTCGGCGGCTTCTTGGGCACCTTCGCCGTGTCCCCCATTTCCGACAGATGGGGTCGCAAAGTCGGCATTGCCGTTCCAGCTGTTTTCGCCTGTGTGACGTCCGCCCTGCTGGCAGGAAGTGTTAACATTCACATGTTCATCGCCTTCAGGTTCTTCGCAGGAATGGCGGCGTATATCATCGTGTCCACGGTTCCGGTGTGGATGAGTGAGGTAGCTCCGCCGAGTGTTCGAGGAGTCTTGGTTGATATCCATGGTATCAGTCTGCTCTTTGGTTACGCCCTTGCTTCATGGATCGGATATGGGTTCTGGAAGGGTGGCGACAGCAACGGGTGGAGAGGTCTCCAAGCCCTCAACGCCCTACCTGGAGTTCTCCTGCTCTGCTTTTTGCCGTGGCTCCCAGAGTCGCCTCGATGGCTACTCATGAAGGATCGCTACGAAGATGCGGCAACGGTCCTCAAGAGTCTGCACACCGAGGAAGAGGCTGCGGTCGAACTGTCGCAGATTTCAACACAAGTCCGGATTGACAGAACGCTCGACTCTTCATACTGGGCTCTGATCAAGAAACCGAGCTACCGGAAGAGGGCAATCATGAGCTTCCTGATCCCGGCTGGAATTCAACTGAGCGGTCCATTAGGTATGTACCTCGTTGTTCTCTCGAAACGAAGATAATGCAATCCTCCTAACCAAACATCGGCAGTCTTGAACAACTATGGACCGACGTTGTACGGCGCACTAGGTTATGACACCGAACAGCAGTTTCTCTACCAGATCGGCTGGTATACTGTCGCCATCGGAGGAGGCATCCTTGCTCTCTTCGTGGTCGAGCGAGTTGCACGTCCAAAATTGATTGCTTTCGGGATTCAATTCTGTCTCTGCTGTTTGGCCATCGAGGCAGCTCTGGTCGCCACGTACACCACGCCTGAGGCGCTTGCAAATCCCAACAACAGCGCGTTGAGCGCAGCCGTGGCCATGCTGTTCGTATATGTGGTGATGTGGGAGATCTGTCTCGATGGAACCCAGTTCGTTTACATCTCCGAGATCTGCCCTAATCACCTTCGCGCCAAAGGCATTGCTCTCGGGATGGCAGGTCTCTGCGCAATGAACATCATGTGGTATGCCTCTGAAACCCTTTCAGTAGCCGACGGCTTTTGAATGCTGATCTTCCCTCCACAGGTTGCAAGTTGCCCCAATTGCGTTCAAGAACATAGGGTGGAAATTCTATCTCTGCTTCATCATCCCCGGGACGGTTTTCGTTTGCTTCCTGCTTTACTGGTTCCCCGATACACGAAGGATTCCCCTGGAGGAAGTGGCAAAGATCTTTGGTGACCAGGATGAGATCGCCTCTGCCCTCGAGCTTGAGAAGTCGTCTGAGAGTGCCGTTGAAAAGGTGGATACTGAAAAGGCCTCACTGGAGGCTACCAAAGAGGCTGGTACAAAGGCGCCTATGGTATTGTCCCATGTCGAAAGTGTGTGATTGTAGGAAGAGAAGGCACTTGGATAGGTCCTACTCCCCAGGAAAGACCTATTTCAGCCGCTGGAGTAGTGTATCAAATGTACGAACCGGGTGGCAGTGGGCCACAGGATTGTCTATCGAGCGTCTTTCATCTTGCTTACCACCTCTTCCTCTTGGCCAACTGAACTAAAACGCCAGTTGGTGTCTCCATGGTCTATACGTAGCTTGGTGGGCCATTCCCGTATCCGATGCCGGTGTGGTCCAGATAACTAACGTGTCTCCAGTGCCGGAGGGTGGTCGTCTCGACATCTCCGGGTTGTTGCGCTGGAATGAGGACGATGGTGATAACCTCAAGAGTCGCCGCGGCGGAGCGGTAGAAAGGACCCTGTAGAATTCACCGCCAACCCCAGCCACGTGAGCGGAAAACCTCCGAGGCAAGAGATCTCATGTCGTTGCGTGGAACAACAGTCAAGGTGGCCGTCTCCATTTACATCTGAAATTGCCTGATCTTCCTCGGAAGCCCGATCCATGTCCCTCCGTCGTCGACAGTTCTTAAAAGACCAAACCACCCTTCGTTCGCAATTAAAACCACCCCCGGCTACTGTTCTGGAGTGTGCACAACGAAAAAGCCCAGATAAAAGATGCGCAAAGGACTCAGCAAGGACCCAAAATATGCTGAGCTGATGGGAGAAGATATCATTGGCATATATCTCTCAACTGAGCCATTTTGCCTTTTACAACAGACGACGGAAGATGATGAACCGAAACTGCGGCGATTCGTCAACCATCAAGAAGACATTCACAACCCGCGTCTAATCAATCAAGGAGAACACGGTGTGGTGATCTCGGCAGATATTAAGGGGGCCGAATATGCTGTGAAAATTGTGAGTGAAACTCTCTGATAGCTACCCTCCTCTGATGCAGTCTAGTTTAAGCACTGGATGCAACCTGGACCTGTCTTCTACTTGCATGATGCTGCCATATATACCTCGCCTCTTGCCCACGAATGTAGAGCTTATGCCCGACTAGACTCACGTGCCGAGAACGGAACATGGGCTGTGATGTGTTATGGATGGATGAAATTGACCGATGCACATTTTAAGGTGCTTGGGGGTGTTACCGACACGTCGAGTTTAAGCCGATGGGCGATTGTTAAGCAATATAGACCCGTACCGATAGGTCCATCAGATATCCCGACGATCTTTACAAACTTCACGATCCCCCAGAAAGCACGAATACTTCCCCAAGACGTTAAAACTGAGAACTACAGAGGATCAAAATTCGGCGATCTTTCGAGTACTCTGACGGCGCCGTGTCCGGAATGGGAGGAGTTTTGGTTTCGCCATTTTTATAAGGCAACTGTAAAAAGTGTGTTGAGGTGGTTTCCCGACACATAAATCTATTTCTGTCGCGACCGAAATCATCTTCTCGTAGGCCCTTTGCCTTTGTTTTTCAGTCCTGATGTACTAGATTCAGACTGAGATGGCGCTGGCCCTCGAGTTTTCCCGGCCACCTCTTGTATCTGGCCACGACTATTGATTCGACCCGGTGGATATTCTTCGATAGAGAGATCTTTACCAGTTTCCATATGTAGCCACCATCATAGTCCTAACCTAGATGGCTCCTGGTGATGGAAATAGTGTTGCTGTGGGGGTAAGAGGCCTGGGGGAATTCGCGGACCACTTTGGCAATTCCGGGGTGAAAAGCTGGAACCGCTTGATTCGCCAGTGGTCGGACTTGGATGACTGTGACCACATGGTACAGGCCAGGACAGGCTTTGCTCCCCCAAAAGAAAGTGTATACCACGTTCAAGAAGGCTGGATCAGCAATATTACTTATTCACAAGCCTCCTCTTTCTACAACATCACGCCTTTCAATGTACACTCGAAGAGACAGCTGTTGCTATGGCGTCCGGGAGCTTTGAGAGACAGACTGCACAACCTGTCGAGCCACTCTTTACCTTCGAGATCTTGGCCGCGAAAGAGATCACCCAGGATATGATCCAAGAAGCGGCAGCATTGTTCTCACGTGCATATGGCATCTGGGGACCACAGGCGGAGAAAATGATGGGACCATTTGCAGAGCATGGTATCTAAGAGCTGTCCCCCTGGCGGATGTTGGTTTGCTTTCTAAGTTGTGGCGACAGGTCGTCGTGTCCGCATGAGTCCCAGTCGGCTAAGAGAGGAGTGCCTCCCAGATCGTGCAGATAACTATTTTGTCAGGGCTATGGCCGGCAACAACCTGGTTGGTCATGCTTTGGCCACCTATTGGAACTCTGCAGGCCACCAAGTCTGCTGGGTTACCCAATTATGCGTGGATCCGCAATATAGGCGTCGCCGGCTGGCCACAAGGGTAAGTTCTCCCATTACACCACGACAAACTTTCTCTGACTCGGCCCAGCTTCTTTCCAAGTTACGAGAAGGAAGAGAGAACTGTATTTTCGGAATACTAAGCTCACACCCTGCGGCGATCCTCACCGCGCTGAGAAGTTTCGGATGTGGGCTCGAGGAGGTAGATCTGAGGATTGTGCGAGAGCATGCGAAAGACGTTATGGAGTCTAGCCCTGTCAGATATATCAGGTCAGCTAGGTTGTCAGGGAGTCTCTTTGTGGAGGGCGCACCACAGGGAGTCATATGCTGTGCTGATACGAACTTCTGGGTGGACCACGGAGAACCAACAAAAGTGTTGGCTGAAGTCAGGGCGCGAGGACTTGGTTGGCCTTTTGGCGACTTGCCTGATGGCCACGAATACCTCCTCCTGGTGAAGACAGTATAGTTGGGTACTTGCGAATACCCCTTGCGCATGTTAAAATAGGAATATAGGATAAATACACGTGTTGACAGAGGCCGCCGAAGTGCATCATCATATTCATCGCCGCTTTTGGCGCAGGTTTCGGTCTCACCGCCAACTGCGACACCCTGATTCAACTTCCTCGTGTATCAATGCACAACATCTCTCGCAAGCACTCATAAATCGATCAGCTTTCAGTACTCGATACCGCGAATAGCCAAACACAACCTTGAACAGCCCCCAAGACCGCCACACTACTGCGCAAGCCAGCAATTAGCTATGATGACGCTCATCGTGAGGCTCCTCACCACACTGCTCTGGCTCATCGGAATCTCCATCGTCACCAACATTGTCAAGCAGCTGTTCTTCCGAGATCCTCACAGACCGCCTGTGGTATGGCATTGGGTGCCTCTGATTGGCAGCACAGTGGACTATGGGCAGGACCCATACAAGTTCTTCTTCAAATGCCGAGAAAAGGTGCGCGCGCTACCCTTGAGCCGCTCCAAACTTGTTCAGAAAAGTTCCGACTGGGGGGATTTGGTCCCACTGATGGCTCAGTTTTCGCTAATCGAATGTCCAGTATGGTGACTTTTTCACATTTGGGCTGCTTGGAATGAAAGTCACGGTCTACTTGGGAGCCAAGGGCAACAACTTCATCTTGAATGGGAAGTTGAAGGATCTCAATGCCGAAGTGAGACTACGTCTGCTCCATCACAAGCATCACAGCACTGACCCGATAACAGGAGGTATATGGCCCACTCACGGTACCGGTCTTCGGTCGTGGCGTGGTATATGATGTGGACAACGCGAGGTTTATGGACCAAAAAAGAGTACGGCAAATGGTTTCTTTGCAGCCTCTAATCCCGCACGTCTCTGTTATTGACACGCTCGCCTTTATAGCTGTTGAAGGAAGGCTTCACGAGTCAGAATTTGCGAGCATACGTCCCCCAATTTGTCAAAGAAACCGAGCAATACATCAATACCAACGCCATCTTCCAGGGCGAGGGCGGAGTATGCGACATATCCACCGTGCTTTCAGAAATTTCCCTATATGCCGCAGCTGGCTCACTGCAGGGAAAGGAAGTCAGGGATTCTTTTGACTCTTCCTTCGCCACTTACTACCGCCATCTCGACGATGGCTTTGCGCCCGCCAATTTCATGTTTCCATGGCTGCCCACACCCGTGAACCGGCGGCGAGACCGCGCTCAGAGGATGATGGCCAAGCTGTACATGGACATCATCAGACAGCGACGATCGACCGGGAACCAGGACGGTAGCCACGACATGCTCTGGGCGTTGATGGACGGCCGTTACAGAGATGGCACTCCACTGTCAGACGAAGAGACCGCCAACCTCATGATCGCCCTGCTCATGGGCGGCCAGCACAACACGGCAGCCTCCGGGACGTGGATCATGCTCCATCTCGCCCACCGCCCACATCTCATTGAGGAGCTGTACCAGGAACAGCTGGATGTCCTCGGAGATCAAGACCCGACGTATGACACGCTACAGAAACTCACGCTGCATAACAATGTCATCAAGGAAACGCTGCGGCTCCACAGCCCGATCCATTCCATCATGCGCAAGGTCAAGCAACCCATGCCGATCCCCGATACCGACGTCGTCGTCCCCGCAGGCCACATATTGCTCGCAGCGCCGGGGGTTCCCTCCCGGTGCGAGGAATTCTTCCCGGATCCCATGGCGTGGAACCCGCATCGATGGGACAAGCCTGACGAGACGGATGCGGAAGCACAGACACAGTCACAGCTGAACGAGAAACGCGACGACAACGATACAGTGGATTATGGGTACGGAGCTGTCTCCTCGAAAGCGGTCAACAGCCCTTACCTGCCCTTCGGCGCAGGTCGACACCGGTGTGTCGGGGAAACTTTTGCTTATGCGCAGCTTGGAGCTATACTTGCGACCATGGTGAGACTTTTGCGTTGGGAGCAGGTCGATCCCAGCGCGCCGGTGCCAGCGACGGACTATTCGGTAAGTGATGCGATGCCTGTGAACGAGCCTCTCGAAGCAATTGAAGCGTACCCTTTCTCAATTAACAACCGAGGGAAATGCTGATTTGTTACAGTCCATGTTCTCACGACCAATGCATCCCGCTACGATCAAGTGGCAGCGTCGACATTGACGTGTCGTTTCGTTTCGCCACTACAAAATTATGACACCAGCCCGAGCTCCTCCCGGAGTAGCCAAAACCTATAAAGACGCCGGCTGCGGCATATCCGGCGTGGCTTCGTAGCTGATCCTCCCAGCCGGCAGAAAGAACAGCGCGACCAACGCACCGCCTCTGACCTCGGGATAATGGTGCGTGCCGGGGCCAGGACTGGTCCACCCGGCCCCTTGCCAGCCCTGCATGCCCTTCAACTCGGCCGTCTCATCCAACAAGACGACGCAGTTGATCTCCCCGTACGGATGCTGGTGGTACTGCCCGCGATACACCTCCTGCGAGTCCATGTACACCGCGGTGATGGAGATGAAGCTGCTCTCCGGCGTGGGCGGGGCGATGCGGCCGCGCCGGTACTTGGGCCCGTCGAGTTCGTCGCGCGCCACCCAGCCCTCCTTGAGGCCGTCGCGCATGTACCGCGCAAAGGCTTCATAGAAGGGCGTGCCGGGGCCGTACTCGCGGTTCAGTCGGGCCTCGAGCTCTTTCCCTGGTGTTCTGGGTTCGGGTTAGCGGAGGTATGTTGGTGTAGGTAGGGATGATTCAAGTAAGGGCCCTGACCCATCAGTGAAGAGGATAGGGTACGCGAGGAAAGATGATGGAGAGAAGGAGAGAGGCATACAAATTCTTAACCTCCCTGAAGAACTCGTGGCATTTGGACACGAATTCCCTGGCCGTGGGAAATGCTTCGAGATCGAGCACTGGGGCGTCTGCCATTCTTTTTTCTTCCCTCTCTTCTTCCCTTTTCCCTTTTCTTGGTGCCGGGCAAGGAAATACAGTACGTACTTTGGATAAACTGTAGTAGTTATTGGGCCAAGAGACAAGTGATAGCTTCGCGTTTAGTATCTACAAGTCTGATGTATTTATGTATGTAGATGTGTCGGAACATAATATACGACGTGGTAATAACACAAGTCGTATGTAAAGATGTAAGGCGCGGGCAGCCAATGTCAAGTCAGGCTTACCATCATCATCACCAACACCAAGACCCCAGAAACTGTGGAAGCGGGGAGAAAGGGGGGGAGATGAGCTAACTCGATCGGCATGTGCATAGGTAGGACATTTCCGTCCCCTCAATCCTATGCCGTATCCCATGCCGCGTGTCACTTGCCGTATGCCGCCCCCTTGGTGGCCTTGTGGTGAGATGCAACGATCGATACATCCAGAAGCCAGAAGCCGAGTTGATTTGCCGATCTGGGTTTCCTGGGGAGATACCTCCAAACAGTGCATACTACACTCTATCTACTAATCTACTGCCTACGACCTAGACACCTAGGTACCTAGGTGATTGTCGTGCCAGGTGTCTGGTGCCTGTGCTGTAGTAGTATAGACCCTATACTACTAACTTGTCCTTCTAAAATAACTGCGTCTGTAATCCACGAGCAGATTACATATCAAGAAAAGTTGCGGTTATCGGCTTTTGGCGCCTTCGTAAATACATACCTCGCGAGCGAAGGCGAGAGCGACAGGGCAGATTGAGTCCACACATCGTCATATTTATGTTGTCGTGCTGGATGAATAGTGCAGGGCACTGTTGCCTTGATTGGTATGTAATATGTCCTTCATTGCATCTCATTTGTTCGGTGTCTTCGGTCATGTGCACGAGACTGGCTGTCTTGGTTGACTGGAGGTGGCTGGCTTGAGGTAAATCTCATGCCCGTGGTGTGGTGTGGTATTGGGTGTGTTGAGTTGCGGCGGTGAGCTTACGCTCGAACAAGAAAGCAGACAGAGTGCGGCGAGACTGTTTGTTTTCACGGAATACACCATCAGATCACTGCTCACCCTTGACAGAAAACTAGAACAAAAATCCATCACACCCATCTCTAACCTTATCGTGCGCCAACCATATGCAGGTGCCGTGATTGTGACATGAGAACAGGTCGTTCAGAGGCACAGGAGTTGCCACCAACCTCAAACCGTAATATGTGGTGAGATCCCCAGAAGGGATCTGCTGCGTGACATACCGTCTTGCCGAACACCCACATATTAAACACTGAAGGGGGATACCGAGTACGCAGTTCTGTCGGCATGGAACACTTCGATGTGGTTATCGTCGGTGCAGGTGAGCTGATTTGTTCCGTCACATTCCCTGCAAACGCCGTCATACTCACACTGGCCCCCTCGTAGGGTGGCATGGACTCGCTATGGCCAAGACATACTCCGAGGTCTGTCCACATGCCAGCTTGCTCATCTTAGATTCCGCCCAATCCATCGGAGGAACATGGGCTAAAGAACGCCTATACCCTGGCCTCAAGACAAACAACATAATCGGCTCATACGAGTTTGGCGATTTCCCCATGACACCCGAGAGATTTGGTGTCAAGCCAGGACAGCATATCCCCGGCGCTGTGGTGCATGAGTACCTGTGTCAGTTTGCAGAGCAGTTCAGGTTGGTTCCGTGCTTGAGGCTTCAGACCAAAGTCGAGTCGGCAGAATTGCAAGAGACCGGACAGTGGCTGCTCCGAGTGCGTGGACAAGCTGAGGACGATGAAGCCAAATGCCTAGAGGCTGATCGGCTAGTCGTGGCTACGGGTTTGACCTCTGAGCCATATATACCTCAGTATGCTGGAATTGAGAGTTTCAGAGGAAATTTCCTCCATTCGCGCCAGATGAGGGATCGTGCAAACGATGTCGAGACATCAAAAGAGGTCGTGGTAGTTGGGGCAAACAAGTCGGCATGGGACGTCTGTTATTCGGCGGCGAGGGCGGGAGCCCATGTCAATATGGTGATCAGACCACAAGGCGGCGGCCCAAGCTGGGTGTGGCCTGTCATGTTCTCTCCTTTCAAGCTTTCCATCCAAAGAATGGCGACCACCAGATTCTTCACCCTGTTTGAACCCTGCATCTGGGCCGAGGGCAGCGGGTTCAACCTCGCCCGGAGAATCCTGCACCGTACCTGGCTTGGTCGACAATTGGTCAAGTTGTTCTGGAAGATCCTGTCTAACCCTGTGCTCTCAGCAAACGGATATCACAAGTACCCAGAGCTGAAAAAATTGAAGCCTTGGGCATCAATGTTCTGGATGGGTAATTCCTTAGGTGTTCACAATTATGAAACGAACTGGTTCGAATTGGTCAAGAGAGGGAGTATAACCGTCCATCTCGCCGACGTAAAGTCTCTGGCGGGTGATGAGGTCCACCTTTCCAATGGCGACATCATTCATGCCGACACTTTCGTTTGTTGCACTGGATGGAAGGTAGCTCCGCCGATCAAGTTCATGCCACCGAGCGTAGCAGCTCAACTCGGACTGCCAGGACAAGAACAGGATGGGATCGAGTGTCTCGTTAAGCAGGCGGATGAGGAGATTTTCAGATTCATACCAGGACTTCGCAAAGGCCCTCGAAAGGTTCTGCCGGATGGATTACCCTCCATCAATGTCTCGAGGGAAACCTTGACTCACAGTCCGTATCGATTGTATCGTTTCATGGTGCCGTCGGCAAAACCTTTTCTGGACCAACGTAACATAGCTTTTATCGGCGCCCACCTTGCTCTCAATGCTATCACCGTCGCGCAAGCTCAGGCCTTATGGATAACGGCATTCTTCCAGCAACAGATTCCGAGCTTGAATGACTCGACAGTTAATTACCAGGATATCGAATATCAAACGATTCTCCAAACCGAATACTGTCGGTTGAGGCACCCACCTTCTGGTGGAGGTGCAGGAGAAAAATGTCCAGATCTCGCCTTCGATGGCCTGCTGTATACAGACTTACTGCTCCGAGATATCGGCATAGTGAACTTCCGAAAGAGTAGTCTCTGGGAGGAGTTGTTTGATCGGTATTTGCCCAAAGACTATACTGGAATGACAAAGGTGTTGATTGATCGAAGGAGGTCTGACCAGCAAAATCCCTTGAAGGACCACCAGATGAAGGCTAAGCAGTCAGTAGCCATGAATACCCCTGACAGGCCTGTGGATAGGTAATAGTGAAAATCTTCCCCCTGCTGCAAATAGCACTAGCATGGGTCTCGACTCCTGTGGATGTTGCAGAACGACTGATATTTTTGTCGTCGAATAGTCGGTATATTTCCCCAGTCAGACAGTCGGGGTCTTCAGGCTGACATCCTGAAGCCCGATGTTTGGTCAAAAGTCGGATTTAGGAGATACAACGAACAATTGGACTTTGCCTGTTGCTAGCAATTATCCGTAAGAACACAACCATGGAATTAACACTTCAAACATCCGAGGCAAGAAACCGGATTGAATATAAAGTCACTTGGTCTTTGTACTGGGTAGACAACTAGGAAAAGTAAATATCGACAAGGAAACGCAAGAAAAAAAGAAACAATGTTTGATTCCAGCTGTCTCCGCGGTGCAAATCGGTTGCAGTGGGGAGCCGAGCCATTTTTGAGGGTAAGTCTGCCGTACTTCTCGCACAGACTTCAGGTCCTAAATCTCATGCAGATGCGATGTTGGTGTGTGGACTGCAGGAAGTTCTCAGGGTCAACGAACACAAACAATATCTTGGTACCTCTGAAAGGGATGAGGGTGGTGAAGGGTAACCTTAAGACCTTCACCTTGAATGTCGAGTCTGGAAACCAAATGACCAGCTTCTTCTGCGACCATTGCGGGTCGACCTTGTATCGCAGAAGCAGTGGTATCAGCGACGGTGTTGCAGTAATGATCGGGAGTATTGATGGGAACGAGATGATACACGCCAGCAAACCTGAGGTCGAGATCTATACAAATAGTCGTCCGGACTGGGTCGCTCCCATTCAAGGCGCAGAGCAAGTGGAAGGTGTATGGCATCCGAGGCCTGACCAGTTGCCTAAGCGATCTTGAGTTGTGAAGCAAGGACTCGGTAGTTGGTACCGGGTACAAGGAAGAGAGGAGACTGAGAAACGAGAAATTGCAGAGAAGCTCATCGTCATATGGCGCAATGACACGTGATCATAATGCTTTTTGGTGCGATCCTGTGACTGCGAAATCCAAGAAACAACTTCGTCACCTTCATCCTCAAAACCCCTCTGTCTTTCTTGGACGTTTCAAAATTGTTCTTTGTTCATGTTTCTCACTGCCCCTTGCCACGATACAAAGGATTGCCGTTGCAAATTGAAGAGAGGCATCATCGAACATGACGCCCTCAATCAAGTAGGCCAAGCTGCGTGGTGCTAACCATATTCCCAAGGTTAAGATCATTCGATTCCTATCGCCATTACCTTCCTGCTCTTTGCCCCCCGAGCGTCTGGGCCTCCGAGCTACTCCTGACTCTTCATTGATGACTACGGGCACCAGAGTGGCCTCCTGCGCCCTCTTGCTGCCGACTCCTCGCCTGCGCAGACCGCGGAAACTCCTCTGCGAATGGTCTGACAATTTTCCACGGAGCAGAGCGAAAGTATTACGTCGGCTTTACGCTATGTCAGCGAAAATTGAGCAAGAAGAGAGACAAACACACAGAAGGTACCACTCAGGAATTTTGATCGAGTAAAAATGGTCTTATTATCGAGTAATGGACGTACATTCCCAGAGGCTGCCGAGGCCAAATATGGCTTAGGACAAGCCCGAGGGCCCTTATCGTCAAGCCTCCCGAGTCCCGAACTCCGGCGAGCTGCATAGGGGAAAGCGTCCTTCCGCAAAGCCTCTTGGACCAGGCACATGTCTCCATTTCCCAACGATAACAGGCGTGCGTCAGCGCCATTGATGCCCACCATCCCACCAAAATTCAAACTTCAAGTTCCGGCGAGACGTCTCGTCTTATCTCTGCTCGATATGATCGAGTAACAGATACCGCCCACGCGCTCAGCGTCGGCGCGCACCCTATTCTCACCAATGGCAGCTCTCACAGTGTGCCGGCATTCCAGATGCTGATCGGAGTCCTCCGCGTCTATGGCATACACCCTTCCCTCCTGCGACATTTCTGAAGATACCCAACAGGTCCTGTCTCCCGACGGTGGCTGTGGGTGACCCAAGCCGATACGAGGGATGTGGGCGAGTGGCCGCTGAAAGGTAGTATGTCTCTCTTTTGTCCTCGTCCTTTGTTATCGTTCTCACCTCGATTTCGTTCTCAAAAAGGGTGATGAGACGGTGGTTGACTTTACGCGTTGCTTATCAACTCCGTTGATAAGAATTGTACTCCCCTGTTCACATGCGCAGCGTCTCATATCCACCCGCCGTGTGTTTGCAAGCCTTGTGCTGTTCATATTGATCCTGTCCAAGCGCCTGGTGCTCTGTCACCTACCGTAACAATGACTAGCTGGACCAGAGCCTTCCATCCTTATCCGACACCTCCACGATCTCCTCCAAATGGGTTGCTCGAAACAGCAGGCGAGTCTCCGATAACGGTGATCGCGTCGTCTCGAGCCATCCGATCCGGACGACTTACCGCGGCCACTATTGTGATATCTAATGTCACAGGCAAAATCACTGCAACCTTTGATTCGATCGTTCCTGCATCCGATTTCCCTCCCAATACGCCTTATACCGACTACTCGCCGCATATCCTTCTGCCGGGTTTGATCGACGCCCATGTCCATCTCAATGAACCTGGCCGCACAGAATGGGAGGGCTTCTACACAGGGACGCAGGCTGCTGCGTTTGGTGGAGTGACCACTGTCGTGGACATGCCGTTGAATGCGGTACCACCGACAACCACCGTGGTGGGGCTGCAAGAGAAGATCAAAGCAGCGCAAGGCCAATGCTGGGTTGACGTTGGCTTCTACGGGGGCATCATCCCTGGCAACGAGGGAGAACTCAAGGCTCTAGTCCGAGAAGGAGTGAGGGGCTTCAAGGGATTTCTCATTGACAGCGGGGTGGAAGAGTTTCCTGCCGTCTCATCCACCGACATCGAGAAGGTCTTTGCTGAATTGGCAGATGAACCTACCACTGTCATGTTCCATGCAGAGATGATACCGCCCATTGCGGACTCGGTCGGAGATGACGTCCAGATATCGTTACCTCCCTTGCAGCCACACGGTCCCCTGGACGCGTATAGTACTTTCCTCGAGTCGCGGCCACCCTCCTTTGAGACCTATGCTATCGAGGAAATTCTCTCCTTGGCTCACATTGCGCCAAATCTACCTTTGCATATCGTCCACCTGTCAGCCATGGAAGCGATTCCCTTGTTGAGGAAGGCACGTGCGCAGGGGATTAACATCACAGCCGAAACCTGCCCGCACTATTTGTCCCTGGCTGCGGAACAAGTTGCTCTGGGCGACACAAGGCACAAATGCTGCCCACCTATCCGAACCCAGTTGAACCAAGATCGTCTTTGGGAAGAGTTAACGCAGCATGCCGAGGAGGGGGTCATCAAGACGGTAGTGTCAGATCATTCTCCCTGCACGCCTGATCTAAAGATTCTCCCTTCACACATTCCGGGACATATCTGTCAACCCAAGGACAAGGTCAAAGCCTTACAATTAGAGACTGATAGAGGCGACTTTTTCTCCGCATGGGGAGGCATCTCGTCGGTTGGGCTAGGGCTCCCCATCCTGTGGACAGAAATGACCCGGCGCGGTTTGACCGGTCCAGACTCGGCCATCACTGACGTGGTAACATGGTGCTGCACCAACACTGCTACACAAGTAGGCCTGGAAAAGCAAAAAGGCGACCTTGCCGTCGGCTTTGACGCCGATATCTGTATTTTTGACGACACGAAGGAGTGGATTGTAGAGCCAAGTACGATGCTCTTCCGGAACAAGTGCTCACCGTATCAAGGCAAAACCATGATCGGACAAGTCAAAGAGACGTGGCTGAGGGGACGGCAGGTGTTTGTAAGGGACGGAATGAACAATGGGTTCGTTGGGAAGGAATGCGAGGGGCAGTTGTTGCTGGAACCAAGAATCAAGGAATTGAAGAAGGTCAAGAGTTGGTTCAGGAGGTGGATTTACGACTTTGAAGGTTGACCTTTTGAGGTGTATTTTACGAGATACGGATATTATGACATGATATTCAGTGGACATTTCAAGAGACTTGAAGATTGTCAAGAATTGAGTCGCTTGTAGCGAGTTGTTGTATATCATCCTTCAGACTGATAATTCCTATCCAGAAAAACCTATGAAGTACAAACTGTGACTGTATGTGTGGAGACCGAGTGAGAATAAATGGGATCACGTGAGCCAGCCGTGGCGAAAACTCGGCTCCCACAATAATTTTGTGTTTATATTTTAGCCACACAGATTTCCTCCAACAATCTCCGGATTGAATAGGCTCCGATATCCTAGCGAGAGTTGGACGCGTGGCGAAATGGTATCGCGCTTGACTACGAATCAAGAGATTGCGGGTTCGAATCCCGTCGCATCCTCTTTGATGAATACTTTCTATCAAATTTTTTTCCGTTTTTCGATGATTTTGATTTTGATTTTGGTTTTGGTCTTGGTCTTGGTCCTTTTCGTTTTGGCGCTCATTCTCTTTTTTCTGTCTGCTCTGTTCCTGCGGGGTATATCTTGTGGTGATATCTCTAGTAACCTCTAAGAAGATGTTCATGCGGGCTGTGTCTGGTTTCAGTTGCGAGTGACAGTCTCGGCACGTAATACTTACTTCCCCAAGCCAGAAGGGCTCTTTTCTCCCAGAGAGCTATAGAGATAGGTACTATACGTATCTGTGCGCTGCGTGAAGGAAAAAGGACGCGGAACAGCTTAGATAGCAGAGGGAACGGTAGGGATGCTCTATGATCGAGGCAGAGAAGCAGTTGGGTTAATATCATTGCGAAAGGTGCCCCGAATGCTAGGGCAAGATGCTACCGTCTCACGTTTTGGCCTTCTCTTGATCTTTCTGCCATTTCTCTCTCACGCGCCTCCTCATCCCGCCATTAATTCCCTTCCCCCATATCTCTTCCTTTTCCATGATCGCAGTCGCATCGACAGAGACAGGTGTCCCTTTTGCATCCAGGGCTATTCCTCCTGTTTCTGTACCAGTATACTCCCCCAGGACGACCTTCCGCTCTTTCTTTCTTCTCTCCTTGTCCCTACTCATCTTGACCTTTCTCAGATATGCAGCATATACGCCAACTTCTGCCACCCCCACTACGACCCCCGTAGCTAGAGACAAAAGCACTCGTAGACCATCATTGGCCCACCATCGTGTCAAGTAGAATATTGCAGCGGCGCAGAGGACTATGCTCAGAAAGATGTTGAGGACCAGCGAAGGAGAGACGTCGTCATCTTCATCTTCTCCGTCGGTGTTGAGGGAGACGGAAGTGGATACGAGGGAGGCATATTCGCGCTGTTCCTGTTCTCTCCGCAGCTTTTCCATAAGAGCGACGTATTCTGGAGAGGGCTGGGGTTTAGGTGGCGGTGGAGGGATGTAGACACGGGTGCCGCGAAGAAGGCTGTTGAGAGTGAATTTCTGGCTAAGGCGGGACATGGCGATGAGCGTGGTATGCTCTATTGCCTGCCCGCATGTTGTGGGCAGATCTGCGAGGGACGAGCGATCATCCAGAGAGAGGGAGGAGATGGCAGAGAGAATGCGAGGTGTGGTTGTGAGGAGGACCATCTTGCCGTATCATCCGGATATGCTTCAGAAGACAGATAAGTGTTAGTCTTCCATCCGATGGGATGCTGGTAACCGTGATGAACAGCAGTAGCCTCGCAGCTGGAGGCGCTCACAACAAGGCTGCAACAATGGGTCCCTGGGAAGCTCATTAGCGAGCTCCCCCGCTTGCCAAAGGCGCGCCGAACGGCGTAGATCCTTTAGCCGCGAGGCGGGCAGCTCCAAGGACGAGTAACGTCTCATCGCGTGGGGATCTCTCACTTATTTCTTCCAAAAACCTCAAAACTCCACACGGCTGTTTGCGACTCGATGCAGCAAGCTCGTTATGGACAATTTCTCAAGTGACGCGCATTTTAGTCCTTGTCTCCTCCCACTTGGGCTCTGGTGGTCCGCACGTTCCACGTAATATGACGCGCCTCTTCTTCACAGTGTGCTATTATCATGGGACAAACGCAAAGTCAAGAGTCCGAGTCTGCCTCGCCCCCAAGATCTGAACCTGATGACCGTAAGTGAAGAAGCCCCAAGTCATGTTACTGGCGCGTTTGACGCAAAGCCATTGACCGTGCCTTCCTGAAGAATTTGACATTTCCCAAATCCCCGACGACCGAGACCAAGCTTCGAACCACAATTCCGATGCTGGAACCGACCGCACTCCGGCACATGCTCCTGATGAATCCTCCGGCATGGCAAGGCGCCTGGATGGCAATCGCAAACACAAAGATCAGTCCCTGGCAGTAAAAAAGGACGCAAATGCATCACGTCGGAAGTCCAAAAATCGCCATCGCAAGCGCCGCCTGTCGTCGAACAACACCAGTGACGATGCGTTTGGCGGAGTTCTAAAACGAACTTCTCCTCAGTTGGTCAACCAGGTTACAGACACAAGTCCAAACACCCGACCCTTACAAGATACGGAACCCGAAACATATCACATCTATGCGACGTCAGATACAAGTGATGCAGAAGACACGGACAGTAAGAGACGTGGTGGGTTTAATGCATTTGCGTCTGTCAATGGCGCAAGTCAGAAGAGCACTCCTGCAGTATCAAACACGGGCCTTGACAACTCGCATGATCGGCAACGAGCTCTCGAGAAAGAGGAGAATCAGCACACAAGTTATGCGCGCGAGATTGACGTTACAACAGGCACGAAGGCTCCAGATGGCGAGACTTTAGGCCCGCCTACTACGCGGGTGTCGCATCTCGAGATGAATGGGGAAGGTCGGTTTCTTTGCCCTTTAGCGGAAGTCCACAACTGCAGATTGACCTTTGGCTCGGCCAAGGCAGCTACAAGACATGCCAATATCCACACGACGAGCTTCCGCTGTGTCGTTTGCGGGAAACAGATGAGTCGAAAAGATACGCTAGCCAGACATATGAAGCAGCACAGTGCTTTCCAGATTGCGTCTGCTGAGGCCGCTTCAAACCCCAATGAAGATTCAGAAGCCGAGATGCCGGAGCTACCTCAAGCTATGCAGCCCGATACGTTAAATGACGTGCACGACCGGATAGAGGACGGAGAGCCGCTAGAAGAGGATTCCATCGTATTCGCAACTCCTCAGGAGAGACTGGAAGCAAAGAATCTTGGCCACAACCTTGACGTGGAACTTCAGCCAGAGGAACCTGACAAACTAGAGGTTGAGATGGCTGAAGCTGTGCCCGATGCCGATGTCGTTGAAGTCGTGTCCGACCGACGTTCAAGCTCTCCGTCTAGCGTCTTCGATGAAGCAGAAGATGTCATCGTGAAAGAAACTCCAATGTCAAAAGGGATTCTCAAACGTAAACGGGACGCTGGAGACAGTGCTCAACCCCAGCGACCGAGCCCGGAAAGGACCCGCAAACGCAGGAAGGGGTCGCCCAACTCTCCGCCTACCTCTGTTCCACCTAATGATACGACCAAGCCAGATTCCGTGAAGAAGCCAGAGGACACAGACGCCCTTCAAAACCGGCAAATCACAGACAAGATTGTACCACGACTGCAGAAAAGGCAAGGGAGCATGGATGGTTGGGCCCAAAAATACACACCGGGTTCGGGCCTCAGACATCCAACCCTTAATCCGAAGTCGCCGTCCTCTCGCTCCGTTACGGAACACGTCGAAGTAATCATCCCACAAACAAGTCAGGCCGGTCCTTCTAGCGCAAAATCGAAAAAGAACGCCAACGTCCTGCCAAACCGTGCCAAAAGTGCGGAACTTGGGCGCTCTGAAGTGGATTCCTTTCCAGGACCCAGCCAGAAGAAAAGGAAAAAGGCTCCTTATGCGACTCCAAAAGGGAAAACTCGAGCGGACCCAGATGTCGACTACTCGACTCCTGTGAAAGACTCTGCCCACGGCGAGGTTAATGGACCTAACAGTGATGGAGACAGTGAACCAGTTGAAATCGCGACATCTGTTGCGAAGAGGACGTTTCCAGCGCCGAGGCAGCAAAAGAAAGGTCAGAAAGGGCACGATAACTCCGACTCTGATGCAGATCAATCCAGCAATTCCGACGTCGATGTGAGCAAAGCGGCATCAGCCAAGAAAACCAACAAAGTCACTCAAGCTCCGAGGCCCAAGCAATCCGACAATGGAGATCGGCTCGAGTGCGCTAGATGTCACCGGAGATTTATAAGTCGGGATCTGCTCAATCGTCACCTGAAGAAGCAGTCTGTGCATGTGGGTCTGCATAAGTGTCAAGAGTGTTCGGAGGAATTCTGGGCGAGCACTGCGCTCGCCGCACACGAGAAGGACATGGGCCACGGAAGGGGCAACGGCCTCCAAGGACGCACTGGCGCCTTCAGCCAGACCGAGGTCGAGAAATTGAACAGGTGGAGAGATGCGTTTTGCGACTACCACAACATCACTCGGATCCAATTTAACGATATGATGACCGACACCCTGACACGGGACAAAGGAAACATTTGGCGCTGGCCCTTCATCAAACGAGCAGAATTTCTGAAAGAGTATCGTAATGTCCTGCCAAATCGCAACAAAAGATCGATGCTGCGCTATCGTGAGCGGAACTTTCAGAATGTGGAGGGGTCGAGGAATTGGACGGAGGAAGATGACAAGGACTTGATTCGGTTACACAAAGAACTCGGTCCAAAGTGGGCTGAGATTGCTAAGAGGCTGACAAGGACAGTCGATGCAGTCAGTCAACGGTGGTGGCATAAATTACGATACGGCGATGTGGACACCGGCGAGTGGTCGAAAGCAGAGGATGCTAAGTTTTGGAAGATCTTGGACGAGTTACGGCTTGACTCGGACGGGAACGAACCGAAACATCACCGCATCCCATGGAACAAGGTCAGTGAGAAGATGGGCACAAGATCTGCGCAGCAGTGCTCAAATCATTATCGTGCTCGTCATTCAAAAAAGGAACGAGGAAGATGGATCAAGATTGACGCCCCAGAGAAGAACCCGGGGCTGCGTCGGATTTTGACACCGTCGAAGATGGAGTTGAGGCTGCGAGGCTTGACCACAAGAAGAACTCCAAAGAAAGGCCTGTCAGAGGAGTACGTTCGCGATGACGACGAGGATGACGATGAAGCTTCGGCGGATGTTCAGGAAGATGGCAAAACTTCCGAAAAGGACAAGACGGCAGAGAATACTTCAGAAGAGGACGCTGGCACTGGTCATGGATCTGAACCCGAGTCAGATGTCGAGGCCGAGAACCAATCGCTCTCATCAGCTGATGATGATGGAGTTCCACGCACAAGAGGCCCGGTAATCGCCAAGACGCCTGGTAAGGTTCTGCGATCAAGTCAACTGTTCGAGCAGACCCAAGCCAATACTTCGGCACTGAAACCTTCACAGACGAGCAGTAGGAAGACAAGACTGCCGGAAAGCCAGGACCGACCTTCGCCGAATGTTCCCATTCAACGACGGCGGCTGGAGTCGAGGTCTCCTTTGACAGAAATACCTGTGTTCGAGAATGGTGATCTGGATCTTGGAGAGGAGGACGAGGGAAACGAGAGTGGGAGTGATGTGAGTGATGGTGAAAACTCCAATGACTTGGGTGTCACTCAAGAGCTGGACGAGGAGCTAGAGACGTCCGATTCGTCTGCCGATGGAGACGAAGATGCAGTCGATGCTGAAGCGGCAGAGGCCGAAGACGACGAGGAAGACGACGATAATGATGATGATACTGCGGAAACGGACGAGGACATGGATGGAGAGGATGGGAGCGACACTCATGATAATGTTGATGAAGCATCATCCCAAGAGGATGAGGAGGATGAAGACTCAGAGGCGCCTGCAGAAAACAAGTCGAGTTTCATGGATAGTATCAACGAATCCGTGAAGCGGTCGAGGATGCGCAGCAATCAGTCATGGACGGGGGTACCAGTCCCAGGCACAGGCCAGCGTGGTGGACGGAAATTACGAAAAGGGCACCAGGTGGACAGCGACGAGGAATGAGGATTAAAAGGACCGCTTGACGAGGACGGACGGCCCATACAGCGTAGTCATTTGGTTAAGGACAGTGGCTCCTCTTTTGATCATATCAACAACAGCCTTTACTACATCACATGGTCTCCTTCAGATGCCCCATCCCACCCATGTTGCAGCCTTGCTGAATACGAGTATTCTCGCAAACTATCCAATCAACGACAAAGAGCCAACTCAGCCTTGCGTCATAGTGACAAACTTGGCTCACGTCCCTCTCGCCATATTATTTCAATGTGTGATCTGTGATGCATGTTGTCTGGTGTGCCCGTCCGCCCGGTCCTCCGGCCCTCTGATGTCCGATTCTGATGTTTATCACCTACACATACGTGGTACGTACTCGGTACCTAAGGTATACGAGGTACAAGCTATTCTATCACATCACTTCATACCATATCATATCATATCATATCACACCACACAGCACCACACCACACCACACCATACCACATAACACAACAGGACTACGTCACACTGGTGATACCCGCAAAGATACCTTTCTTGGCTGCCGGGTTCTGGATTCTCAGGTCTCAGGGGCTCATTCATTGTGCGAGTGAGTATAGACTACAAGTATATACCTACCTACCAACCTACCTGGGTAATCCCGCACCATCTGGCTCGTCTCAAGATTCAAAATGTCTAGCACAGCCACGCTCGCCCAGGTCATGCGTCGCGCCGCAAAGGCGCTGCCGCCCATCAACTCGGCCGAATTTGCCAAATCGTTCGACTGGCTGGGTCAATACCAGGTGGTCCTGCTGGGGGATGCCAGCCACGGCACTTCGGAGTTCTATGCCGCGCGGGCAGAAATCACAAAGCGCCTCATCACCGAGCACGGAGTCAAATGTCTGGCGCTCGAGGCGGATTGGCCCGATGCCGAGGCGATTGATCAGTACGTCCGACGGTGGCCAGGCCAGCGTCCTGATCCGGTGCAGACGCCACCATCCCAAGAGAGCCCGTTTCAGCGATTCCCCACGTGGATGTGGAGGAACCGGGAAATGCAGGATCTGGTCCATTGGATGAGAGATTATAACGACGGGTTGCCCGCAGAGGACAAGACGGCCGTGTATGGATTGGATCTATACTCGATGGGCTCTAGCATGAGCTCAGTGATCCAGTACTTACAGAATATCGACCCAGAAATGGCGACCAAGGCAAGAGAACGATATGCGGGACTGCAGCGCTGGGTCAACAGAGAACACCAATACGGCCGCAAGATGCTCCAAGGCAAATACGTGGAGAATCTCAAGACTTGTGAGGAAGATGTCATCAAGATGCTCCTGGAGTTGCTGCGCAAGAGGCTCGAGTACTCGGCCAAAATCAACGATGGTGAAAGATTCCACAGCGCCGAGCAGAATGCCGTGTTGGTGGTGGATGCCGAGGAGTACTATCGTAAGATGTACTACAGTGATGCGGTCAGTTGGAATCTGAGGGATTTGCACATGTTTGACACATTAAAGCGCCTCCTTGACTTCCGGAAATCCAAGGTTGTGGTATGGGCTCACAACAGCCACTTAGGCGACGCACGATATACCGATATGGGCACGCAGCTGGGAGAACTCAATCTCGGCCAGCTCTGCCGCGAGAATCTGGCCGATGTAGTCCTTGTAGGTTGCGGCACACATGACGGCACGGTAGCTGCTGCACATGAGTGGGATGATGACATGCAAATCATGAAAGTCAATCCGTCGCGCGAGGACAGTTGGGAGTATGTGGCCCACAGCACCAATATTCCAAGTTTTGTTCTCGATGTGCGAAAAGCGCACTGTGACGAAGATACGCGCAGAGCACTGTCCGCTAATCGGCTCGAGCGATTCATCGGTGTCATCTACCGGCCAAAGACGGAGTTGTGGAGCCATTACAGTCGCTCCCGGTTGTCCAAACAGTTTGACGCATATGTGTTCTTCGACAGGACGCATGCGGTGGGAGCGCTGGAGAAGACACAGCCCAAGACATCACTGCTCGAAGCCGAAACATATCCGTTTGGTTTGTGATTCTGGGCGACTAGGCAAGAAGCGAGTGTACCAGAGGCCTTCTCACAAAACCTAAGCCTTTCACTGATACAGGCAGCCCAGTAGACTAAACCGTGAACAGGGGTGGTGGTCGCTTCCACTGTCACTAGGTAGATGGAGCACTGGCAGGTTTTTGCACCTGTCGCTTTCTAGCCCAGTCTCGGAAGCATTCAAGCGGTAGGGTAGTTTGGCCAGAAGTCGGCTTCAGAAAGGATGACAGTCTTCATCACCTTCTCCCTAGAATCGAATCAGGGTGCCCGCGGTCTTGTAACCGACTAAGGGGCTCAATCAGACCAAGCACCTCCGGACGCAGTCTCGTCCAGTCAATGGCCAACAATCTTTTTGCGCGTGCCTCAAGAACGGGTACCATGGCCTTTCTCATGGCTTCATTGGCAGGGTTGAGGCCCTCCTGCAAAGCTTGTTTCGCGTAGGAGATGAAAGTCGGAGAAGCGCATCTGACACAGTAATCATAGATATCATCTGCAGAAAGCGTATTGAACCCGCCTTCGCGCATGATAAGTACCGTGTCGGCGGTGACCGAGCGATAATGTTCTCCGCATCGCCGGCCAAAGAAACGAGCCGCGGATTCCGTCCAAGCAAACGGGACCCATGGGATGAGTTTGCATAAGGGATCATCGACCACGACATAGTGCCACCTCAGGAGTCGTCTTCTCGAAATCGTGTACAACTCTTTGGGCTGCCCAGTGACGCTCATTCTGGAATCGTCCGTCACATTGTCCAATTTATCGTTTCGACTACGGACAAAGAAGTCATAGCGTTTGCACAAAGCTTTCAATTGCCTGATCCGGTCCTCTGGGCGCTCACAAGTGGAAGGGATCCTTGGAGCAATGAAGGAGGCCCAGGAACGAAACAACCAGAAAGCTAAGGTAAACCCTGGCAGACGGGCATAGTCTGATCCGTGGTGAAGCAGGAGCTGGAACTCACGACGGGAGATTTGGGGAACTTGGATGTGATTGTCGTCGAGTTTGAGGTTGGAACCGCCGTAGAGAGCAACCACATCCGGGGCACATTCGGGAGGAAGGCGTTTGCAGAGGTTGGCATATTCCTTATGATTGTCCCAGATCTGCGCGATGCCTTGTTTGTAGAATTTGTTCAGTGCAGCCGCCTTCGCCCGGCGATATCTGAGCCGCTGGAGCAGAGTGATGCGACCATTCTTGTTTACTTGGGGAGCAGGGACGAACGGTAAAGGCGGAGGCCGTAGGGAGGAGAGACCGCGAGCGGAGGGGCCATTAGGGACAAGCGGCTTGAGACGAAGAACGTCGGGATAGGTAGGTGTCTCAGTGAAGAAACCAGGATAGAGCTCTTCAAGCCAGGATTTGGACGTCGAACGGCTCCGCAGTGGCCGCCCAGCAGAAATAGCAGGACCAGAGAAGTGGGAGGGTGAGATCGAAAGTGAGCGGCAGAAGACTCTGCTGAGGGATCTAGAGTTGCTTACACCGTGGTTGAGGCGAGGTGAGAGGCTCATTGACGTGTGATGTGCGAGATATACCGCGGTGAGAGAGAGGCGCGGATGAGATAGAGTGTCAATTGTGAGAGGCTGCGTCAAGTCAAAAATGTCAAATGGTCGTTGGAGGTGGAGACGCGTATCTGAGATCTGAGACGCGCAGTTTCTCCAAAGAATTTCTGGGCCGTTTCTGTACAATCTGGCCTCCTCTACCACCACCCTGTCGTCAAGTCAATCACCACCTATTTCCTTGTACACTTGATTCCACCTCGCCTTTTCGTCTTGTGCTGGCTCTACAATCACTGCTCACGCAGCCTGGATTGCCCCTCCCTCCCAACATGCACCACTGAACAAGAAATTCCTCAGGGCACCGCATCTTCGACACTCCTTTCTATGCAGCCTCGTCAGAATGCGTACTTTACATAAACGCTGGACATGGTCCCTCCTCGCTCTTTTGTCTTGGGACTCACTCATCACCCTCACAAGAGCAACTTCTTCCGTCAATGTTGCTCTACAGACCTCCTTCTCGGCCGGTCCATATCTGGTCGAGTTGCTGTACGCACTTCCCGCCCCTCGTTTCATCAATGCTTCGACCATGCACTAACATGCGATCAGAGAAACGGCTGCTCTTGAGAACTCGTCGTCCTACTTCCCTCTTCTCGACCGCATCGCCGATGGTACCTTTACAGATTTGCAAACGGAACAAGAGCTGTATACTAAATTCCTCGACGTCGTGCAGAATGATGGGCACCTTTCCACTCCGGAGTCTGTGTCTTCCTTCAAGTTCGCCCTTGCCCTTCATGCTGCAGCACCAAGGGTCGAAGCTCATTTCCAATACTACAACACTTCTGTTCAACCGCACCTGATGGCTGCTCAGGATGCCGTCTGCCCCGTTTGGGTCTATTTGGATGGCCAGCAATTTTGCTCGCCTACCTTGGATCGTGCTCAGCAGATGGTCTCTATTCCGGATACTGTGAATGATCTCCCGTTTGATCGGGTCCTCGGTGCTTCATCTGATGGACCTTCGTCTATCCTCTATGCAGACATCACGCACCCCTTGTTCGGGCAGTTCCACAGTGTCGTCAGTCAGACGGCCCGCGAAGGAAAGTCTACATACAGAGTACGGTACAGACCTTCAACGATAGTCTCTAGTAGACCGATCTATGTTACAGGCTATGGCGTGGAGCTCGTTTTGAAGCGCACAGACTACATCGTTATTGACGACCGGGATGCCCAAAAGACGGGAGATTCGACGCCGGAACAACTATCGTTGGAGACCAAGGATGATGAGATCAAAGATCTGAAGCCCCTAACCACTTCAGAAGTGGCCAAGCTAGGCATCAATGCTGCTAGCTTCATTCTCTCAAGCTCGAGCCCTCTGGATACTCTATTACAGGTCACTTCGGATTTCCCCAAATACTCTTCTCTCCTCGCCTCGGTAAATGCCAGCAAAGAGTTCGTTCTCGAACACAGGGCAAATAGAGATCGATTCCTACCATCGGGATACAATGTCTTGTGGATCAATGGTGTGCAGATTGAGCCTCGACAGATGAATGCCTACTCTCTTCTCGACCATTTGCGAAGAGAAAGGCGTATTATCGCCGAGCTCAAGAGTCTGGGTTTGGCATCGTCAGAAGCCATTAGCCTCCTCTCAAGTGAGATCATCGCCGAAGCACAAGCTAATGAAACTCCTCAGCGATTCGACTGGCGCGATGATTCTGAAGCCGGTGGCGTCTTGATGTGGCTGAATGATCTGGAACAAGATAAACGATATGCTGGTTGGTCGTCCTCTCTGCGGTCTTTGTTCCAAAGAACATATCCCGGGCAACTTCCCCAAGTATCTCGTGATATACATAATCTCATCGTGCCGATCGACATGGGCAATATGAAAGACATTGAACTGGTCACCACATCACTACAGAGTCTCGTCCGGCGACAAGTTCCCATCAGAATTGCTCTGATCCCCACTGGTGAAGGGGAAACAGCGGACACATACTCAAAAGTCGCATATCACATTTCAGATACCTATGGTTTAACTGCTCTGATGAGCTTCTTCTCCGATATTGTCGCTGCAAAAAGGATAGATACAAGTCCTGAGAAAAGCTTCAAGACTGCCATCAGGGGTCGAGCTACAAGGGAAGGAAAAGAGCCGTTAGCCTTTCACAAGGTATTGAACGACGAAAGCCTAGGTCTACGACTGCAAGCACGAGATGAATACATGAAACGTTTGGCACTTGCACGGCCCAATCCTCCCTTACTCGTCAACGGAGTGGTTATACCGAGGACGGATAACTGGTTTGAGCTTTTGAGTGCTCGGTTGTATGCAGATCTTCAGCTGGTACAGCAAGCAGTGTTTCAAGAAGCCATCTTGGAAGAATCTTGGGTTCCTGAGTTCTTCCTCTTCCAAGCTGTCAAACGGCGCAATGAGATGGTCTTTCCGGATAACGCCAAAGATGTTGAAATTGTTGATGTTGGCCAAATAGCCGTTGACTTCGCCGACAGCTTTGCACGCCTGCCTCGCCTGGCTGGGGCAGAAGCGACATTGTTGAGCGACCGTGCTCACCTTCTTGTTGTTGTCGACCTTGAATCCGAGACTGGCCGGACCTTGCTTTCGGAAGCGCTACTGTTCCACCAGCGAAATCCTGAGATAGAAATGCTCATCATTCACAACCCTGGTCCTGAATCACAAATCTCAAGTTTTGCCCGTGGTCTCTACGCGCTCTTACAGGAGGACGGTCGCGACCTGACAGTCGATAGCCTCGAGCAGTTACTCAAGGGCGATCTGAGCTCTTCTGCGGATGATCTGACAGACGCATCGGCCGAGTTTTGGAGTTCTCATGCAGATTTACTCCAGACGTTATCATTTTCAGAAGGCCAAAATGGGCTGTGGCTCAACGGGCGTCTCTTAGGACCCCTTGACCAAGGTTTCACCTCTGTCGACTTCGAGGCGTTGCTTGAGTTCGAAAGGAGAGAACGAATAGCACCGGTTACGACAGCCATCACTGGACTTGCGCTGGAAGACCGATTTACCGGGGCTCTCGACCTCGCAAAGATTACCTCGCTTGTTGCTCGATCTTTGAAGTCTGACTTGCCAGAGGGCTTGAGAGAATCCGCGCCCTGATCAGGATGGAACGCTTCAAATTCTGGAATGGCACTCATACGTCTATTAAGATATCGAACTCGGACGACATTAATATTCAGATTGTGGCCTCGATTGATCCCGCCTCTGAGCTGGTTCAACAGTGGGTTCCGATTTTGGAGAGCCTGTCACGGCTGAATGGAGTGAGCGTGCAGATCTTCTTGAACCCGAAAGACAGAATGACCGAGCTGCCAGTCAAACGGTTTTTCCGGCAAGTCATTAGTGCAGAGCCCAGTTTCGACTCCCATGGTTCCCTATCCATCCCCAATGCATCGTTCAGTGGTATCCCCAAGGATACGCTCTTCAACCTAGGAATGGTTGTGCCTCCATCATGGTTGGTGGCGCCCAAGATATCCATCCATGATTTAGACAATATCAGGCTCAGTAACCTAGCCGAGGGCGAGAATATCGACGCTGTCTATGAGCTTGAGCACATTCTCATTGAAGGCCATGCAAGGGACGTGACTAGTGGTCCACCACCTCGTGGCGTGCAACTACTGCTGGGAACTGAGGACGAGCCTCATTTTACAGACACCATCGTCATGGCCAATTTGGGATACTTCCAATTCAAAGCCAATCCTGGATACTGGCAAATTTCATTGAAACCAGGGAGATCATCAAAGATCTTCAACATTGATAGTGTTGGTCCCCATGGTTACTCTGCTCAGCCGGGCGACGAGACCACATCAGTCGCTTTGCTCTCCTTCCAAGGGCTGACTTTATTCCCTCGGCTTTCCCGAAAACCCGGTATGGAAGAAGAAGATGTCCTGGAGTCATCTGCGCTTGGAGGTGCCATGGACTACCTTAACAAGGGAGCTTCCTTCGCATCTTCAGCACTTTCCTCGCTGGGCTTCAAGAAGACGTCTTCGAACGCCGACATCAACATCTTCTCAGTGGCTTCGGGCCACCTTTACGAAAGGATGTTGAATATCATGATGGTGTCGGTCATGAAGCACACGAAACACAGCGTCAAGTTCTGGTTCATTGAACAATTCCTGTCACCATCGTTCAAGAGTACTCTGCCCATACTTGCAGAACACTACGGCTTCGACTACGAGATGGTGACTTATAAATGGCCTCACTGGCTTCGAGGTCAGAAGGAGAAGCAGCGGGAAATTTGGGGCTACAAGATCTTGTTCTTGGACGTGCTCTTTCCACTGGATCTAGACAAAGTCATCTTCGTGGATGCTGACCAAATCGTGCGCACAGACATGATGGAATTGAACAAAGTGGACCTGAAGGGAGCTCCTTACGGCTTCACGCCCATGTGCGACTCTCGCACCGAGATGGAAGGATTCCGCTTTTGGAAACAAGGATACTGGGAGACATATCTCCGAGGGAAACCCTACCACATATCGGCCCTCTATGTGGTTGACCTCAAGAGATTCCGTCAACTTGCCGCTGGCGATCGCCTCCGACAACAGTACCAAGCACTGTCGGCTGACCCAGCCAGTCTCTCCAACCTGGACCAAGACCTGCCGAACCATATGCAACACAGTCTCCCCATCCACAGTTTGTCTCAGGAATGGTTGTGGTGTGAGACATGGTGTGATGACGCCAGCTTGGCCAAGGCCAAGACGATTGATTTATGTAACAACCCACTCACGAAAGAACCCAAGTTGGACAGGGCGAAGAGGCAAGTGCCTGAATGGACACTGTACGACGAGGAGATTGCAGGAGTCATTCGGGCGGCAAAGGAGCAGGCGTCGGCGGTCACGGACAACAGTGAGGGTTTGGAGGACGCTGCTGATGGCGAAAACCTAGAAAATGTTGAAAGTGAGCGTATCCGGGATGAATTATGATGATGTTGTTGTGTATCTTGCTTTTGCTTGACATTGGGGGAAATACCAAAATCTGTGGATAGAAACTTATAGAGCTAGCTGTATACTACTATACTACCACCACATGAAAAAAAAGAAATGGCGATTTTAAAGATTCATATATACCTCCCTCTGATTGACTGAGTGAATGACTGAGGAAGTGAGGAAGTGAGGAAGTGAGGAAGTGAGGAAGTGTAGAGGACCTGGCCACTCTGGAGCATTGCCGCAGACAGGTCTAAAACACCGGGTACGGACGGCAGAGGAAAGCGAGAGTACCGAGTCACATACATCAGAGCACCCGCTAATGCCTGTAGCACGTGTTCCCACCGAGTAGGAATTTTCGTTCAAGAGGGTCAAGAAGGCAAGGAGTCAACGGTCAGGAATCAGGACCCAGGACGAGCCAAGCAAAGGTCAAGGAAAGGCCAAGAAGACGTCTACATAGGTCATGGTCAAGGTGTCTCGAGAGGGATAGGTGCTTGGGAAATTAGATACTCGCTAGGTATGTAGGTAGGTAGGTAGCTAGGAAGTCCTGAAGTACAGACTCTGTACCGAGTGAATGAATATACGGGGGGGGAGAGTAACTTGACTTGGCTGGACTCGGCTTGACTCGACTCGACTCTATGTGTATGTAGAATACGGTGTGTGGGGGTGGTGGTGGTGGTGGTGTCCATCCCCTCATGTCATATAGTAAGTACCAGTATCACATCATATTCTATCTGGCTATCTGACTGTGTTGCCGTATACACCGGCTTCAGATTGATACTTTTCTCTCTTTTCCTCGGGGTGACTTCTGGTCCTGAACTTCCCCTTTCTCCTCTCTCCCAGTGACGAGGTCACGAATGTCCCAGGTATGGATGTATGTGTGTGTGTATGTATGTATGTATATATGGGTGGTTGTTGCGCTTTTCGGATTCACCAATCATCTCGGATGAACAAAGGTCTTTGCAGGCGGGTGGCCGAGCGGGTTGGGGCGTTCGGTTCGCTGAGCCAGCCCTCGTCCAAGCCCTCCAGTCCCTTCCTGGAAGATGAAAGACACGTAAACAAGACATCACTACCTGATCCTCGCGGCCACTCGGTTGGTCATGTACTTGCCAATGTTGCCGATGAACAAGCAGGCGATGATGGCGCACCCGCCAAACGCAATACTCGTCAGCCACACGTACTTGAGCGACTCGGCGTACGCCCAGCGGGACCCGACCGCACCCGCCTCGATAATGTCCGGAGTGACACCGGGGACGGTCGTAAGATTGGTGGGCGCGGTCAGGTACGTCTCGACGAAACGGGGAGCGGATGAGAGCGGGAGTCCCGCGGCGACAGCGTACTCTGCAATGTACGCGGGGAGTTTCGGCGTGAGTTTGTTAATGAAGACATTGTAGTAGATGGCGTAGCCGATACTCCCACCCACGGCGCGGATGGTGAGCGACAGGGCGACACACGTAGCGATCGACGTGTCCGGTGTCACGGTGATAGCGACGGTGGCTGCCGGGACAAGAACAGCGCCGACCCCGAAGCCAGTGATTGTCCCTACACCAATAGCGAGACCCTCCCGGTCGGGAGTGATCGCAGCAATAGCGCCGCCAAAGGCCGCTATATCACCTTGCTTAGTTTGAGGCAACGATGCGCAGGCAATCGAGAAGTGAGGGAGGTGGGAGAGTTATGTGGTGATGGGGGAAAGGGATCCTTTCTAGGAAATGGGTCAGGGAGACGTACTCATAATAATGCAGCCAGCAAGGAGGATCTCTCGGTTGTGTCCCTTAAACCAAGACAAGGCAGCGTTCGCAAAGACCGCACCAAAGGTGGTGGACAACCCGGGACCGAGACCCCGAAGACCAACATGGACCGGATCAGGTTCAAAGACCGTGCTGTACACCAGGGGGAAGAAGTTCAGCATGGCGTAAAAGTTCATGCCTGTGGTAGAAAGAAACACCATGTCAGCAAAACATTTTCACTCTTTTGATTCATGGCCCAGTTGAGCCAGGATCGGGAGAGTCTTCTTTTACCTGCAACAAAGGCGATTCCATAAGCCATTCCAACAATTCTTTGTCCTGAAAACATCTCATGCGGCACCATAGGTTCTTTGCAGTACTTCCATTCCCAAATGACAAAGGCGGCGATGAGAAGAATGCCAATGATGAGTTGTACAATGACATATGCGCTCTTCCAAGGGTGAGAGTAACCTCCGGCTTGAAGAGCGACCAGCCTACATCCCTGGTCAGCTATGAGACGACGTGAGCCAGACAAAAGGGAACCTTACACAAGCGTCAAACCCATAATAGACAGAGCTCCACCAATGTAGTCAATCTTCTTTAGAATGGCTTTGGCTTCCATCCCTTTTGCTCGGGTCTGGGACTCTGGAAAGTAGACGGCGAAGATGAGAACCCACCAGACACCGTTCCAGATCCTATACATCTGTCAGTCCTGCTTCGACACCGATGTCGCGGGACCAGGACCAAACTTACACGCAAATCCACATGCCCCATCTCCAAGTGTGGTAGGTCGATAAGAGCTGAGCGAACAGCAGATATGGCGTAAATGGGAGCACAAAAGCTGTAACGAGAGCAAGGTAAATGCCTCGTTTGTTGACAGGCACTAGCTCAGAAGTCCTATAGACGCCTTTGTCAGTTCCCCTCGGATCGATTTCTCGTCAATGCATCATTCCTTACCCGGCAAGCGCAGTCAATTCACCAATCGCGGCACCGCCGCCAGCAAACGCCATACCGACAACCCCTTGTCCGAACTTATGAGCAGTACCGATAATGACACAGCCCATCATCAGCGAGACGCCACCAACAAGGGTGATGAGCCGACGGCCGAGAAGATCTTGGAGATAGCCGCAGAAAGGAGCAACCGCAGATAGGGTGAGTGCATAGGCCACGGTTAACCAGGCAGATGCCTCCGCTCCACCAATATCTGCTGCGATGAATGTGAGGGAACCGCCCACAAAGTAGAGGGGAATCTGAGAGCCAACATAGAGCCCGCTAAGAGCAACCGTGGCAACGAAGGTCTTCAGCGTCCATACTGTCTGGGTTTGATACTCTGGTGTCGTCTCGCTGTTGGGTTCAGAGGAAGATCCACTTGCAGTAGCCAATTCGTCTTTGGCATGCGCCTTCTCGTCTTCGGTGTGAGCGTGCTCTCGATGCTCTAGCATCTCTTTATCATGGCGGAGCTCAGCATCATGTTGCACCTCATGTTCGAGCTTGTCGGTGTTCTCCGGCGGTACGACACTCATGATGGCCTTCTCAATAGGAACCAGCAAACTTGAAGGGTTGAATTTTCAGGAGGAGAGAAGCTAGCGGTGCTTTGAGAAGGACAGACTGCGATGCCATCTCGATGTCGATTAAATACCCCTGCTGTCAAAGTGCCACGGCTCCCCGCTTCTTGGGTCGAGGCCCTACGATCCCAGCCCTTTGTAGTGCCGGATGCCTCGGTCATGATGTGAGCCAACAAGGGTTGCAATCTGGGGTTTTGAACAAGGGATTCAGTTGGTCATAATGCTGGAGGACGCGAATGTGATCTGGAGGCCATTTGACTTGGTGCAGGGATAAATGTAGCAACCCCTTTGTCATTGGCTGGTTGGGAATATGCTCCTGGCAATCATGCGCAGGCGAGTCAGCGGTTCTGAGTAGGAGCATGCAAATCGATCTCTTGAATCCCCAGCTTGTCGTCCTATTCGCCCCACTTATCAAATAAACTTGAGACTCCGGATTATTCCCCGCAAATTACCACGACTCTGCGGGAGGTCACCAACGTGGAGCGCCCGCGAGCCAAGTAGGGGTTGTTGATCATGCCACATTGAGAAGTGTGTAATAAGGCGTCCTTGACGTTGGAATTGCCTGCAAGGGATATCCCAACCACCTCGGTTAACTGTTTTGGATCTGGTCTGCTTCGGGTCATCAAGCGAGGGTTCAACCTCAGCAATTTGGATTCCTGGCATTGGCACTGTGGTTACCCTCCCAACGGGAATCAAATTATTGCCTCGTACTGTCGACTAACCTGTAGTAGTGGCGGGATTCTTTCCCATGGCCGAACGCAGGGAAAATACCCAGGACGTTTCTTTCAGAGCATTGACATTCACGCCGAGTGAGCTCGTGAATGTCGCCCACCAGGGGATGTCTTGCCAAGATGTTGTGATGCTGGGAATCAGACAAGTATCCAAGAGGCCAGCGGAAGATGGCCGCGTAGGCACTCTTGTATGGTAGATGGATAGACTGACATGTCGCGGCACTCGTCAAACGTGACTTTTGCAAGAGAGGCTTGGGAACACGGAATTCACCCTTTCAGACAATGGCTTTCCTTGGATAGACTAGTCGTTGCGAAACGAAAGCTTTTCGTAAACCTCGGTCGACCGAAGATCATATGGTGGAAAAACCGCGGTGAGTGCTGTCCTTTGCCCAAGCTTCATACAAGCCCTGCTTCCTCTGATCAAGATGGAGGATCGCTTTTGTGTAATGAAGGAAGGAGAGAGGTCTCGACAGCTTCCTTGTACTTTTTCCGACCGATAATAGGCATCATCGTGGAGCATGGATCGTTGTTCATCCGACGCTATTCTGCTTTGGGCGGCATTTCCCGATCTGGAATCCCGGGAAGATCCATTGATGTTGCTCCCGCCGGTGCTGTACGTCTACCAATTTTGTCCACAAGGCTCGGTGAGTTTGAAACACAATTGGAATGTAGGCAGCATCATTCCCGCTGTTGTGACTGGTGAAGGGTGAAACCTCCAGCCCCTGAAGAGGGCGCCGACCCCGAAGAAACATGCTCAGTCTCGAAGTGAATGCTCCGTTGACTATGGGAAGATGCATTATAAGAACACGCATGGCCCTTTGGACTTTGAGAAGATCTTCATTGCAAGAAGAACAACAGCAACCAGAGTTCGAATTTTCCCAGCAGAAACAACATGGCCGCATCCTTTGATCTGTCCAAGCCCAACCGCACCATCCACGCCGGGGTGATTCTTCTGAACGCGTACGGTTGTCAAGCCTACAGAACTGTCAGGTTAAACTAACTTCGGGCAACAGGGAAACGGAGATTCTCGATGTGGCCCCCATTGACCTGTTGAATTCAGTGTCCAAGAATTTTGTTCAGACCCTGGAAGAGTTTGCTCTGCCTGGTATGGCTGCCCAAGCTCTCGACATTGATTTCCATTGGGTCAATCAGACGGGGAAAACTGCCAAACTGACAGGCGGTGTCTCGGTCCAACCAACCGTGAGTCTGGCTCCGAATCTTCCTTCGGATCATGCTCCTCATCGTTGACGCAGGATGACTTCTCGACATGCCCACCACTTGACATAGTCCTGATGGGAGCTCATTTGAACGGGTATAATCCCAATGAGGTGGAGCTAGACTTCGTGCGTAAAAGTTACGAGAACTGCTCGGCCTTCATCACCATTTGCGGCGGATTGCAGGCTGCATTCCAGGCGGGACTGTTCAAAAACAAGACTGTGGCCGCACCTCGATTCATGTTGGAACAGCTTCGCGCGACGGGCCCTGAAACTACTTGGGTGGAGGAGCGCTGGCATAGGGACGGCAAGCTCTGGACAAGCGGCGCTTTGCTCAATGGGCTGGACCTCATGCGTGCGTTCGGGACAGAGTATTGGGGCGGTGAGGGCAGCTTGATCCAGTTTGCGTTCGACAGCGGCCACTGGCCGTTGAGAGACGTTCAATATAGAGATGCTCCAACGAAATATTGAGCGTGAGTGGCTCGTGCTTGTCGGCGAGGGAGAATGAGCAAGGGGCCGAGGGGCGCAGGGCGGAAATGGGATTTGACTGTGTGTCCAAGTGGTGGTACGGTGGTACGTCCTAGTGATCCACCGTAGCATTAGTACGGCGGATGTCTTCCTCATAAGCCGCAAGTGGATTTCCACACGCAGGCAAATTGGTCCGAAGGAAGAACCTCCGTCTGATCCGATATCAATTCATCTGCCTGTATCGAGTACTTTTCCGCTCTAAACTTACAAAGCACATTGGCCTCTGCATCCTACTTAGTGGCATTTTGGCCTTGAAAGTACGTACGGTTCGACTACACCCGGACCATTGGATCTTACTTTAGGGCCCGCAGCCGGAGCTATGTCTGAAGATCTGGAACGAGGAAAGTAGTGCTGCCTCGTGTTTCCAGGACCTCTAAGAAGCTTGCCATTATGGTAGACAGCCAATGCGGGGAAGACGCCTCCGAACGTCTCCTCAGCCAGCACAAGGAAGCCGTGTCGCGCGTGTCTGACCGAATTGCCAGCTTTCATGCCCGCAAAATTCCCTTTCGCATCTTCCATGGCAATACCAACTCGACTCGCCTCAGCGACCGTACAAGAGACGCCACCGTCGACATCTCCACTCTTGACCATGTCATCTCGGTCTCGCCTTCGAAGCGTACTTGCCTCGTTGAGCCCAACGTCCCTATGGATCGTCTGGTCGCTGCGACCCTGGAGCACGGCTTAGTTCCCCCCGTCGTCCCAGAGTTTCCAGGCATCACGGTTGGAGGTGGATTTGCGGGGACGGCAGGCGAGAGTAGCAGCTTCAAGTACGGCTTTTTCGACGGGACCGTGACCTGGTTCGAGGTGGTCCTCGCGGACGGAGAAGTCGTGACGGCCTCGGAGACGGAAAGGGCAGACTTGTTCCATGGGATGGCCGGCACATTCGGCTCAATGGGTGTCATTACCTTGTTCGAGATGCGATTGATCCCGGCCAAGGAGTTTGTCGAACTGTCGTATATCCGGGTCGGCGACATTGAACAAGCACAGGAGGTGATCAAGCAGGTCTCAAAGCAGGAAGGCGTGGATTTCGTGGACGGGATAATGTTCGCTCCGGAGAAGGGCGTCGTGCTCGCAGGCCGCCTCGCCAACCGAGGCGAGAAGAACCAGGACCTGCCGATCGTGACATTCACCAAGCCGTGGGATCAGTGGTTTTACCTCCACGCAGAAGAAAGAATGGACAGTACCGAGATCACAGGCCCGGGACCTCAATCACCGTCATCACCGTCCCATCCCCGCGACTTGATCCCCTTGAGAGACTACCTCTTCCGTTACGACCGTGGCGCCTTCTGGACCGGCCGCTTCGCATATAAATACTTTTGCATCCCCTTCACACGCACCATCCGCTGGCTGGCGGACTACTTTATGCACACCCGCATCATGTACCACGCCTTACACCGCTCCGGCCTGTACCAGCACTTCATCATCCAGGACATGGCTCTCCCCAACAAAAACATTCCTGAGTTCTCTCACTGGCTAGACCGGGAGTTGCCGCACATCTATCCGCGCTGGCTGTGTCCCTTGAGGCATGGGACCAGCGTGAGCATGAACCCCCATCTACGGAACCGGCCTGTGTCATCCGCGGAGCCCAGCCCGACCTCAACCTCGACCTCAAAGACAGACTCAACCCCCGACCCACGGAGCAGTGAGGGCGACGATGATGGAAGTGATGACTTTGACAACGCGCTCCTCAACATCGGCGTCTGGGGCGAAACACCCCCCAACACGCTCCACGTCACGATCAACCGACTCATCGAGAGCAAACTCAAATCCCTGGGCGGGATGAAGTGGCTGTACGCCCAGACGTTCTACACCGAGGACGAATTCTGGTCCATCTACGACCGGAAGTGGTACGACGGCATGAGGAAGAAGTACCGCGCCGACGGCCACATACCGAGCGTCTACGAAAAGGTTCGGACGAGGGACATATTCGAGGTTGACGATGACGGCAAGGTGCTCCGCGACGCGGCCCTGCCGGTGGAAAAGGGCGTGTGGAGCATTTGGCCCATTGCGGGCGTCTACGGGGTCTTGAGCGCCTTGAAAGGTGGCGATTATCTGCGCAAGCGCTAGCAAAAGGGTGAATCCTCCACGCGCCTTCTTCGGGGGTTGTTGGCTGGATTTTGATATATCAAGACGTTGCGAGTCGTTGTATAATGACCCACCAAGTCAAACATATATAGAGATACAATGGAATTTAGAAGTATAGATAGACGGGTTGATAGGTTGGTCTGGTTGGTTGATTGGCATGTCGGCTGGTCAGTCGGCTATATCCACCGAGTCCTCTCCTCCCAATGAGCATGTATATACTCGGTATGGCCAGAATCTTGAATCTCACGGCATTCAGGTCGTTTGGAGAGGTCATTTTCTTTAGACGTTCCGAGGGGGCAGAGTCTGCTGAGGTGTTGTTGTGAACACGTACGAAAGGGTCATTCATGGCATACATACATACATTCTAATACTGCATAGGAAGAAAACTCTCTGTTACGCCCTCCATCAGAACTCGTCCTCTTAAGCAGGTCTCATGATTTGTCCACTTCTCCTTGTAACCCGAGAGTCTTCCCGACATCTATCAACTCTCTTCGGAAATGTGTAAAGTCTACACGACCATCCGCGAGGGTACAGTTTTGAGACCCCTTGTAAAGACGGTCTTGCCATTTTTTTGGACATCTTCTGGAGGTGCTGATAGTCCGCCAGGCGCGGGCGCGGGCGTGTGATGAACTGGAACAGAAGGGCTCATTCGATGCAGCAGCCACGTCAACGTTGGCCCTGTACTGGGCCCATCTACTAACTTTCAAGGGTGGTCACCACAGTGGTCGCCACATAGGCAATACCAATGATCGGCCTGTCAACCGATGAGGCACTCCATGGGTTTCAAGCAGGCTTTCGCTCAGTGGCCTTCCAATGGTAGTCAACCATTTCTATTTTACACTTCCTACCTCCCTGTCAGTTATTGCTACAGGTGAAATGGTTGGCTCTCGATGACACATACGTTCCATCCCTGTAACGAGTTGCCCTGCAACGAGGCTCTTGGAGATTGGCAGGAGTGCTGAAATATTGAATTGTTCGCGTGTGACCAGGATTGCCGTGTAGTTGGGGGCGATCATCCCAGGATTGGCTGCTTGTTGGCCGCCAAGCTTTTAGGCACTATCCTCCCGCTTGTGGGTTTCACGGGTCGGCGGCTGAAGCAGATCGCTAGTTCGCAGCTTTCGAGAGCAGCCTGCAACCACAACCACGCCTCTTCAGTTTCATGTGCTATATATGGTGGACTTGTTCTCCATTCCACCCATATCAATAGTCATGGCAGCCCGTGTTGCAAAACAGGACACAGGCCGAGCGCAAGTATATCACGACAAAGCTGGCCGCGAGCAGGTCAAGCTTGATGTTCAAGCCGTAGGAAACACCTCTCATCATTTGGAAATCGACCTAACTTAATGACCATAGGTAAACGGCACTATTCAACCCGAGACAAGGGCGAGGAGAAGAACGCGACTGATCACCGGAGAAAGAGCCGAAGAATACAGAAAAGCCGTCAGTTGCTCTCGCTCTATACAAGTTCCCTACCTCGTTACCGCGTCACTGACCGCGTTGCAGCCGACCATCTGCGCCCGCAAAACTCGAATGTGAATGCCAAGATCTCCCACAAGGGCCAGCGTTCACAAGAGGCACAAGCTGCGAGCCATGAACGAACCGCAAGCAAAGGACAGAGGCGGCGATCACAGAAACCAGCCGTGAAACAATACCCCCAAGAAATCCCTCCGCCATTCATCTCTCAGCCGGCCGGGATAAAACGGAAGCGCTCGCACGACGCTCAAGCTGGGGCTGGAGCCGAAGTAGACGACTCCCAACTCGAGCACCTTACAAAACAGATGAGGAGAAGTACTCCTCCCTGCCTCGAGCACCCTGAGGAGGACTTACCAAAACTCCTTGAACCTAAAGTAGAAGCTGGTAAGCGAGAAGGCGTACGGCCTTCAATACAGCCCTCAAGACTCCCCTCCCCCAAAGACCAGCTCTCTGAGAACAACTTACGCATAATCAATGCGGAAATGAACCCCGTAGCCGACAATGCTCCAGTTCTCAACCGGACCTCGTCACGACGTTCCATAGTCCCGTCGGAAGCGGGCACAGTCCAATCCCAGCGCTCTTCTAACACCAATGCCTTCTACCGCCACCAAAATCTTTTAGCTGTCCAGATCCATATCCACGCTAAGCCGCCTGACTTCATCGAGGCCGCGACCAATCGCATTGTTAACGCTAAAGTCTCCAAGCAGCGCCGGGCTGAACTCCGCGTCATAGCTCAAGAATTCAGTAATAGCTGCCTCAAAAATGTCAGGGCTCAGTCTGGCGAGGATGACTTTATAAATCCACTCCATACTGCCCTCAAGGCTCTGGGTCTCAAGAACCTCTGTATCCATAAAAAAGCCGAGTGGAGAGAGGAGCTTCAGCCTACAGTCCCGCAGCAGTTGCATTTCAGTTCGAGCTTCATGGCCGGTGTCCAGCAACTAGAGGTTGACGACGTCTCAGCCTGTCCGAGAGAACGCCAGCAGCAGTCCACTGGCGAGTATGTGTCTCCCGATTCATTTCAAACCAACGCACCCACCACTCCGCCAACCAATAATTCTCCCGAATCGAACACGATGCCTCCTGAGGCCCCACCTGCCCTAGAGAAAGGGGGGATCGCTACCCGATTAAAAATCCCCGGCCCGACCTCTCAATAGGCACTGATCTCACGGCTCTCATCTCTGCTCTCTCGGCGCAGAAACTCAACAAGGCCAAGGCCGCGGCATTCATCCACTGGCTCCAGAATGAGATGGTGCAACACGAGCCAGAGGGGCCGCTTGAACCAATGCTACTCTTAGTACCGGCGCCACGCGCTTTAGATCTCGCCTTCCCGTTTGCTGTTGTTGAAGGTAAGGCTTACTCGACCGGTAAACAAATTTTCGAGGCAGAGAATCAAGCTGCGGTTTCTGGGGCTTGCGCGCTCAAGATACAGCTTGATCTAGATAGCCTGGTTAACAGCGGAACGATGAGATCTGGTGCTCTGCCTAAATCCTCGAATGCCCATCCCCCGCTCTTCTTCTCCATCACCACCCAAGGTCCCATCCACGAGCTCTGGTACCACTGGACCGTCTATGAAGACGGTGTACGCAAGTTCGAATCGAAGCTTCTGGATAGTTGTAATGCACTGGTGCTGGAGCGAGGGGAGGACTTTGTGGTCAAGCTCAATAATGTGGGCAGTTGGGGTACAGGGCCATTTGTGAAGTCACTTGTAGAGCGTCTAGGACAGGTAGCAGTGAAGGCAGAGACTTAGTCATCAATGAGTCATCAATAGATGGTGAATCGAACAGTCGCGTGGGACACGGCGAAACAGAGGATTCGACGTCGGAATCTCGACACGAGTACTTTCCATTTCCATCCTTGGACCTGAGCGTGGCCGTGAGCCTCGCCGCTTCAACTCTCAGGCTCTATGTTAAGCTTCGCTGTGGGTGCCAAACCTTGATCTGCCAAGGCTCGAATGTATTCCCCCTTTCCGCTTTTGGAGTCCTTACATCTCTCATTGTCTACACCATGCTTTGCGCGGATGAAGGCCCTGAAAAGCAATGCTGTCGCGATGCCTGATGATGGGGCTAGTTCTGTATTGAGAAGTGTTACGGAATGGCTCAACAACAGCTCATGTACTCCTCCCATCAGTGAACCTTTAACGGCCATCGAGAACTGTCAGTCGCGTTTTGTGAATGCGGACATCCAAGGAGGGCAACTGTCGAAGAAGCGCAAGAGATCGCCAGGCTCTATGAGCACAATGAGCGATCCTATTATGCGATCTCCTCCGAGATCCAGCAGTAGCACGACTTCCAGTCGAAGTCGCAGCCCAGTGAAACGGAGAGCAGACTTCGATATAATGTACCCCCGGATCACGTTCAATGAGGACAAAAGGACGTTCACGGACGACGATTGGGAACTCCCTGACAGTATGAGGAAGGCTGCAGTGAATATACCCAAGGAGATGCGCGAGGATTTAGAAAGACATCCTGTTGCTAGACGGAACTTGAATCAAGTTACGTGGCAAGAGGATCATCGCCATTCGCTTTCCGAGATCCGTGACTTCTGGATAAAGTCCAGAGCATTGAAGAAGCGGCAACTATATGTTCGAAAGAGGGTCGGTCGGAGGACTCTTGGAGTGGTGATGTTGTCCTCGAAATCATTAGACTGGCTCTCAGCTGGTCGGGCTTGAGAAACAAAGTGATGTTGGCAAATCTGTAAGTGGTCTCTCGGTGCGCATAGTTATGCTGATATTTGTAGTAAATCCGTCGGTGTGGACCAGCCAGCCCTTCTCCCTATGCGTAATCTCCAGCGCGTCGTCTCCAACAAGATTGACTATGGTCTGTGTCTGCAACCTGACGCTGAGGAGGAAGTTATGATCGAGAACGTCCTTCGGAATATGAGCGACGAACTGCCTAGCATCAGTCAGTCAGCTGTTCCTATGCTTCGCAAACGAGCCCTCTTCTGCAACCTGGAAATCAAAAAGCCCTATGGAAACAAAGATCCAGTACCGCAACTTGGGGTGTGGTCGATAGCAGGATTGACAAAATTGTCGAACCTGGCGCGAGAGTCCCACATGAAGATCGGAGGAACTACGATGCTCGAGGATCCGGAGGTGCCTGTTTTTCCGAGCTGGAGCGTGGAAGGCCACCGGTGGCAATTCTACCTTGGAAGGAGATGCTCATCTACGGAAACAGTAAGTTGTCTACACGACTTTAAATCCCAGAGCTGACTCTCTTAGGTCATTCAAGGACCTTTTTGGAATTACGATACCAGTTCAGTTGTCGAGATTATATTTATTGTGAATACCTTGTGCGAAATACTTCGCTGGGGTAACACGACCTTTCGGAAATGGCTGCTGACAGTTATATCTGGACTGCAAACAGATTGATATTGATGTCTTGGGGGCCTCCCTCCCGGGGGGGAGGAGGGGGCCATTCTCTTGTTTCTAGTAGTTTTCGAGTCGCAGTCATCTTCTGGAGCATTTAAACATTGGGTCACAAATTGGGTCAGATTGCGAATTGTATATCTCTCAGCACTACGAACGCCGAACGGAACGCCAGCTACCATACAGCGATTACATTTCTTCCTTCTGGGTTTGCAAGCCGCATATTCGGGTCGTCTTCGATCTACTCGTGATCAGGTGTTTCAGCTAAAACACTTCCCCTCGCAATGTTTCGCTATCTCTAACGTAGACAGCACTTCAAAATCGACCTTGGCCCAGATATACACTGCCCAAGTCTCACGGATTCTGCTGATGAACTCCGTCCAAATACGTCATGGTTACCACCACACAGGGCAACCGTTGGTTAAGGGCAGTACCAGGTAACGAGAGACCTCTTACGGACTTTCTTTGGCTCGCTCAGCTTGCGTTCCAGGTACATTAAGGGGAGGCAGCCACGTTGGCAAAAAGGCTAATAGTTTGAATCAATACGTGGCGAGAAGAGAGCAACTGTTATGATTAAACATATTAGATGCTTTGAATCGTGCCCACTTCTGTGGCACTTTATACCGTGTAGTCAAAACTCAATTGACCGGTGCACTCGCTCTACCTAGAATGGCGCAAGTGATTTCACCTTGTCTCGACGCATCCCTTCAGTGCTCTCTATTCCAGCTACCTCAAGAACGCGCCCAAGGCTCCGATCCCGCGACACAGAAGCCATTGTTAACCCCAATTCCGACGATCAGCGATGGTATCTCTCGACAATGATCAGATGGATGTGGTAGAAGCAGTCAGAGAAGGAGGCATCGAAGGCTGATGGAAGAACCAGCCCACTTTTCTAAAGTTTTCCCCGCACCCGGCCACATTGGTCGCGGCGCCGCTAAGTATAATTTGTAGCCGCATGGAACAGGTTCGCATAATTGATTACGTTGTTATTCTCGCTGGAGCCAGCGCTGTATCTGGGGTCGGAGCATATTGCAATGCGAGCCAGACGCTGCGTTTTGCCGAGAACGAAAATACTACGAGGTAAGGGATAGAGCGTGGTTTGGGGTATAATGTATCTAGTACACAAACTCGTATAGACACAGACGCAGAAACCAAACTAACAACCAACCGAAGAGGAAAATACAGGGAATGTAGATTAGATGGGCAACTGGACGGGGTTGGTTGGTGTGTGCTTTATCACCGTTCGTTCTGGGTCCTGGTGTCCTCAGGTATAGCCCTCTAGCCCTCTACCACTGGGACCACCAATTCGCAAAGGAAAGATGATGGCGGCCATAGCTGGCAGTTGGATGGGTTTAACGCGGGCGGGCGGGGTGGAAGGACGGATGGATGTGTGGAGAGAAAATGAGAGAAAGAGGGAGGGTGCCAGCTTGAGATGTGGTGTTCAAGCTTGCTGATCGAATGGCCGGTCATATGACCATATGTTTGATCGATGGATAGATGGCGAGCGAGAACGGATAAGTGAATGAATATGTATGTGAGTGGGGTAGGTAATGAGTATATGAGTAAGTAAGTACTTGATTTAAAGCGTTAACAATGTTAAAGAGTGAATTAAACACAAGTTTTAACAAATCACGGAAACCGATTCATCGTCCCCGGCGCAGCAGACATCTCAAACGGTCCCGCAGACCCGCCCACCACCGACGGGGTATGCTGCGCATCAATCTCCGATGGCGGCGGCGGACTCATGCGTGACTGGCGCTGCAAGAACGCCTCGATGCCGCCCACAACTCCTGGCGCCGCGGCCTGTGGTCCGGCGACGATGGCCGAGTTGGGGCTGCTCGCGCGCAGGGACATGCTTTCCATGGCACCCCCAGCCACGGACCCGTCGTGCATTTGGTACGGACCCCCGGCGACGGAGGAGGCGCCGAAAATGTCGTTGGACGGCGTGGACGGCCACGCAGGCGGTGATTGCGGGTGTGCCACTCCGGTGTTGGTCATCAGTTGCTGCGGCGGCGCTGGGTAGCCCTGTGGGAAGGTCTGGGAGTAAGGCGAAGGGTACGCGCCGGGGGCGGGGATGGCGTTGCCAAAGGCGTCGGTCGCGGGCATCGTGCTCACCGACATGTGCTTCTGCGTCGGTGACATGTAGCCGTAGTTGTTGGCCGGCGGGATGTACGCGGGCGGACTGTTCATCGGGCCCATGGCCGGGGTAGACGGCCCTGGTAGGCTCGCGCCGCCGGCCTCTTCCTTGTTCTTCTTGGATTTGGACCTGCGTCCGCACAGGTACAGTATGACGGCTGCCGCGATGACGGCGGCTGCTCCTCCTAGTCGCGAGTTAGCGTCCATCACCTAGCAAGGCTGTTCCCTTCAGAACTTGTGAGTGACTTACCGACTGCGATGCCTGCAATGGCACCCGTTGAAAGGCCCGAATGGCCTGATCCGCTAGCTGCCGGGGTCGTGGTCGCTCCAGCAGTTGATGCCGACGTCGAAGACGCAGTAGAAGTGGTGACTGTCGATGTGGCGGTGGCCGTAGCCGTGGAGGTAGAAGTGGTGGCAAACGGATCCTCTTCATCGGGCCAATTCTCCCCAGGTAGCAACATAAAGGAAGAGTCGGCCGCATACTGCTTCTGGGCTTGGATAGACGTGCTGGAATTGGGGTTGATGACGCCGACCATCTGGTATCCAATACATGAGTTGGGAGCACCGCAGTAGTAGAAGATGGGATCGGTGTCGTTAATGAGCACCGTCCATTTCGGTGGATCGCTGAGAATGGCGTCGACGGGGTGGAAACCAGAATAGAACCCGACTTTGTCCACGCCTTTGTCATTGATTCGCAGTCAGCTCCTCGCCTTTTGAGAGTTGAATCGCTTGTATATCCCTTACCTGTCAACTCATAAGGTATACATGGGTACATGTATTCTGCCCGGACCACCGAGTGGTTCAAAGGATAGAAGTCGAATTCTTTGACGACAGTATCAGCGTCCACACACATGCAGACTCGATCTCCTCAAGAACATACCAACATAATTTCCGGGAGAAACTTGCACCACATCTGGGATAAAAGTATGCCCTCCATTCCCAACGGCAATCGTCACCGTGATCGGCTGGGTGCTTGTGCTCGTAGGAGAGGTAGTTTCAGTGCTGAGGAAATCTGTCACCGTGGAGGTAGTGTCTTGAGCCACCACACCCGACAACAGGGCTGCGAGGACGAAGACTGGAATTCCCATGCTTGTAAAACTTGGATTGAGATAGCAAAGGCAGAGAGAGTTGCGAGAGTGATACAGAAGCACAAACCGTGATACAAAAAGTCAAAGGTAGGGGGACGGGCACCTGAAATCTCTGACCGTCGCGGCGTCGACAAGCCGTGGCGGCTTCTCTAGACCAGGACAGTAGCAACTGCGATAGGCATGGGAACCCTCACCTCCTCGTATTGAAGACAGTCCACGCTCCAAATTAATGCCAATGCGGCTGGACCACCGCGTCAAGACTTCCATGTCGGCGGTGCTAGCTGTCTCGAGGCGATTGCCACAGATTGCTCTCGTATTTCCATTCCACCATCCACCGGTTGGGTGTCGCATGGTTTAGGGCTGAAAGCCGGAGCAGCCTGGAATGGTCTAGGATACCGCAAAGAAACATGGATTGGTAGAATAGGCCGTGGCTAACCTTTGGAGGCTCTTGGCTCGTTATTGGCTTCTCGTCGGGTACGCGACAAAAGTCCTCTCTCAGTCTTCTCAAGGATACCCCGGGGAGTGGCAGGGCTGGACAGAACACGAAGGAAAAGTCTTGTTTTGTTAGAAAAGACAGAATTCCCACGCGGCGATGACCATAAAGCATCCAATGATCTGGAGCGAATTGGGGCCAGACAAACCAAAGTCGCTTAGCGAGCAAGAAATCAGCCATGCCATCTTGGCCAGCAGTTTGTTTGTCTCAGCCCTCGGGATCCTTGGAAAGGAGTCTGGCCCTTGCAACGGTAAATACTAAAGAGCCAAGGAAGGCTGAATACGAGGCGGGGGATGATATGAGTTGGCGGGTAATGGGACGACTGCAGAGAGCCGCAAAGCTGTGATTGAGGGTGAAATGGGTTTCCGCAGGTACCTGGTAGGTATTCGTGTGAGATCAGCGTTCAGCATCTGCAGTTCTGGTGGTGTTCCATTGCTGTTGAAAGAGGGAAAAGGAGGGAAAAGGAGGGAAAAAGAAATAATTCCCTTTACAAAGACGAAGTTCAGCTGCCAAGGCGCCTTATTGAGTCTGTCCCAACCAAGTCAGACGCCACAGTGGCCAAACTCGGGTAAACTACCATTAAATCTTGGATTATTATTATTGACGAGATCTACTATTGGACATGGTCAAGTTTAGGCCAGGGCGAGAGACGAGATCGTGGAGGATTTGTGGATTTGGTGGGAAAATACCAGTGCCTCTTCCAGTGTAAAGTCATCTACACCAACTTGGCCATACAATAGATTGTGCCGAGTAAACACTAGCTTTAGTGTGGACTTCATGCAGCTCCAGTGCTGCGACATCGATCTGCTGACCAAGACTACCCGGTTAATGCTTCTGTCCTCTTGTCTGGGAGCACATAGCCCCCTTCGGCAAACAGTTTCCCAGCAGTCTGAAGAATCTCAGCCACGTCTTCACCAAGCCATGTAGATATCAGCTCTGACCGGGTTGCTTCCATCTCCCGCGTCAACCCTCCAGCGACCTGCTATGCTTTAACGCCGATTCCATGACAAGAAGAGGTTAGGTCTTACCAGAATACATCTTCCACTCGCCGAAGCTAGACAAGTCTGTACGATTGCTTTTGCGACGTCGTCAATCGTGTTCGCCTTCAACCCCGAAGCTCTCCATTTATCCGAAAGCTTCGAGAATGTTGGAGTGGGAGTGTAGAAGGGGGCGACAGCATTCACTTTCACGCCGATCCTCCGTGCAGTCAGTTGAGATGCCCGAAGAAGACCAACCAGGCCGTGTTTCGAGGCAACATAAGCTCCGACGCCGCTGCTGCCAAAGTA